AAAAACTCTTCATCGAAACAATTATTAAACTTAAAATATACCATTTGATAATTCCCCTCCAAGAGGTATACAATAAAAAAGCTTCATTTTGGCAGGGACGGGTCCCATAATTACTTCCTGGTATAATTGCTTAACTTTCGATTGAATTAAGATGGTGTCATAGCAGAAAATAACATAAACAGACATGACCTCATTTTACTGGCCCAACCTTGACAATGTACCTAAGCTATAGCCATAACAATGTAATACCTGTCTCGGTTAAAAAAAAAAAAAAAAAAAAAAAAAAAAAAAAAAAAAAAAAAAAAAAAAAAAAAAAAAAAAAAAAAAAAAAAAAGCATTTTAAGATTCAAACCCATTGATGGGAATGTTACACCGTGATTTTTGTTAATCTTCAATGGGTTAATGCTTTCCAAGAATAGATTTATATCTCTATTTTTTTCTGATAATACAGATTAAATGAATGATTTATACTTTTTTAAGGATTAGAAGTAACATTAGCTGGTTTGCCTGTCAATGGATACGTCATGAATCCTGAGGAAGGCAACACATAACCATTAAACCTTGTGTGCAGTTACACCTACAAGGGGTGACTGCAAGAAAATCAGTCGCACCTCTTTGTAAAACTAATGCACAGCCCCTATTAACCGTTGGGGTTTATCTGGGTTTATCAGCCAGTGATATCAGCGAAAATTAAGAAACTGAAAATAGCATTTCATTCCGGTGTGGCAGGGGTGCACGTCCTAGTAGTAACGCAAGTCCGCCCGGACACTAAGTCCTGGGAATGCAAGTCCTAGAGCATGCATTGCTAGGAATGAAAGTCCTATGACATACGTTACTAGGATTCAATGTCCGTAGGACGAAGGCTCCCAAGTAATGCAAGTCCTACGTGTAGTAATGCACGTCCTAATGGGACGTGCATTCCTAACATTTTAGTAACATTTTAACAAAAACAACACAATACCCATAGTTTTTCTTCATTAATTTTATTTTGTGTATTTTTCTTGTAATAAAAGCATATTTTACATGTGTCATTGACCTTCTTAGTTCTTCAAATGAGGGGAATATCTCTTTTCACAAAACACGGGATCTCCGTCCTTAGATTAATTTTTCGGTTCACACTAACATAAATTGAAAAATAACCCCAAAATGGAAATTTGCTCTTGGATTTAAGGCAAATCAAGACAGTTAATAATTTGAAATTATAAATAATGTTCTGTGATATTCCTTTGGTATTTTGGCGCTTTGACTTGGATTACTGTTACACCGAGCGTAATACAAAGTATTTTACCCTCTATATATGTGTACTTCACAACCATGGTTGGGTTGACTTTCTAAAAACCCGTGTAATGAAACTGTAGGCCCGTAGCCAGTAAAATCAATATGGGTTTCTTTTTCTGAACTAGTGGACCTTTTACAATGAAACCTATCAGCACCTATTCAACAGCACCTATTATTGACCACCTGGATCAAATTTGATCCAGACTGGACCTTTTCCTGACAAAAAAGAGCAGTTCTTTCCAACCCCCCCCCCCCCCCTGGTTACTGGCCTGAACTGTTACTTTTCTATTTATTGCGTTTCAATCTCATTTGCCCTTTTTTATCATATTTCGAAAAACAGAATAACATTGATCAGCCCTTAAGTGTAGTAATTTACCGATGTTGTAATTTTTCCAGAATTACGTTCTGTATACCACGTGTTAATTGTGTTAGTTGTACTTTGTTGATTATCGGGTAGCAACTTGGATGTTATTTTTAGCTCTCAATAAAAAAACCCAGGAAGAACCTGCGGCTAAAGGCAACACAACGGAGGAAGATGAAGACATTGTGTGTTTATGTGCTGCTGTTTGTAACTCCACATCCAACTAAAGGTAGGAACTAAACGTGTTGTTCTGTACTTTCAAAGTATTTAATAGCTTGAAGATTTGTTGACATAGTCTTTGTATAAACAACAAGGAGATCGCCTTGTTGATAGGCTGTTTTTCAAAAGATGAAGAGCAAAAGTGATTTCATATGTCATTTTATCCAAAATGATGACAATTTCCTACATCAATGATAAAAGAAAAGATCAAAATCTTTTAAACGCTCTTAAGCATGAAGCTACATGTGTAATGAGAAGGCTTGTAAAAATACTTCCTGCATGGTAGAAGTACTACGCACTCGATAGAAGATAGATGTAATAGTTGAATGAGAAGGCGTTTGCCTATTTGACCTACGTTTGACCATTCCCAAAGACTATCATACTAACTTTGGATTGAACTATCTCCAAGGGGATTCTCACTTTATTGCAATTAATTTAAGCGGCTAAGATGTCTGTCACGCCTACTGAACCCGACAGGGGGTAATTAACTATCGTTTAGNATCATCTCACAAATTCTTCTTGAATATATATATATATATAAACAGAAACTCAAGGCTATCCTAAACAATGTAAACATACAACAATAAAATGTTAAACCCTGTACTTACCATGTTAGAAGAGTAATTATGGCTATGGTCCACTTTAAACAGGGGGTGTTCTTCCTTCTCGGAGAAGCAGCATTCTTGTTACAGCAACTTGAACATCGACAGCAACAGTAAATTGAGAATATGAAGAGCACCAGTAACAGTAGCAACACCGGGAGAGCAGCTGCAAAACCCAGGGACTGAAATAAGAAAGAAACAACCTCTAAATTGATGTTGGAATATATATTACAGTACGTGAAATATATAAATATATACTCTCTGTTCTTTTAGAAACAGGGTGTTGCTGATCTTGTTTTTTTCCTATTTAAACTTCACATGCAAATTACAAATACAAACTCCCCTTTTTTCTAAGTTAAAATTTATTTAATCTAGTATGTTAAACCTCCAATCACCACAACCACCTATTCAAAGAGACCATTCCCAAAGACTATCATACCAACTTTGGATTGATCCATCTCCAAGGGGATTCTCACTAAATTGCTTTCAACTTAAACAGCTTAAATGTCTGTCTTGCCCACTAAAGCTGTTAGGGGGTAATTAACTACCGTAGGCCAAGTGTGCATGAAAGTTAATTACCCTCCTAGCTGATTCGGTAGGCGTGACATCCACTTAAGTTGATAACAATTTAGCGTAAATCCCATGGAGTTAGACCGATCCTGTTGGATCGATCTAGGCATGGGAACCCAGTCAAAGAAAGGTCTACTTTTGTGTCAGACCAATTTGTAAAAGTTCACAATGGCAGAGTGATAGTACTCAAGTCAACCCCCAATGCACATCTTCAATAGAAAATGGTGAAAACAACCACTGCATTTAGCTGGGTTACCAAACCTTCACATTTGGTTTTCTAAAAGTACTGTCAACAAAAAATTCTTTGTTGCTTCTTACTCTATTTTTCAAAGCATATTTTATCCACCTCCTGGACCAAAAGGCGGTCCATGAATATACACGTGTCAAATATCCAATGTGTTGAGTTTAACCTCATGATAACTTTTTTACTCAATACATCATACATAAAAAGACCATTACTAATTCACCACACTACACACTTCTTAATGTCTTACATGGTAAGTGAAGATTAACCTATACGCATATTCTCAAAGAATTTAAGCTATAAAAACAACAACAGAATTTCACTCATGATATGAAGCACTTTTATTATTATTATTTTTTAATTTTACTATCATTCTCTTTTTTCAGCTAATTTTCCTGATGTCATTGGTTAACAATACTGAAAACCAGAATATGCTGAAGGTCATTCATTAACACCAAAATTTCATAGGTTTTACTACTTCAAGTGGTTCTATTGCCTTGAAGAATATTACCCTATTATTTATTGCCACAAATGATTCTTTTATAATGAACTTACTAGTAATTTCTAAAAACATACATACAAAAGCTGTACCACATTTGTAATATAAATATATGTTAAAGTCCTGGGGCAAATGGTGCAATGGTGTTAAGAGGCTTATTTGGGCACCACTGATAGAAAGAAACTAGAAGCAGAATGCTCCCCTAGTAATTAAAATTGGGTTGAACAGCTTGTACTTATTTCACTAATGGTTTCAATGCTCAGCATAATTCCAAATTGCTGTAGGGCACAGTTACATCAATATTGCATTTTATTCACCTGAAACTGGTAAAGCTGAATCTGTGTTGCAGGTGTGACAGCTAATATGCAACAGAACAGCATAAGGTTAACAGGTGGTTGCAATACTCATGTTTACCTTTCTGTTTACTCTTTCAATTCATGTGTAAAACCAATAATCAAACGGAGGGCAAAAAGAAAAAGAAAAAAAGATTAATAGAAATCTCCCGTAACGGTAAACCACATGTGATATTTTGGTGAAACAACATGAGTCACATCTAGCCCGATATGGTAAAATGTATGTAAGGATATGAGACAACACTAGTGGAAGAGGCGCTCAAAAGCCCCCGAAGCGCCGAGTTTGTTCAAAACAACACCAACTTGTCAAAACTTATGCGTATTCAATGCGAGATCCAAATAAAAGAATACAAAAAATATAACATATATACCTGTATATATTCTTCATCATCTAAATTGAACGTCGAATTGTACAACCGGAATTTTAGGCTAATGTGGGGAAACGAGTGAAAAAGTGCAGCCAACCAACTTGGAATATATTCAGTTTTTTCGCCGCCAAGAGTAAGACCTGGATGTTCTGCTCCTCGGCCAGAATTCATTTTAGGTTTTCCAAACCAGCCTGGTATCTACAAGAATATATATCCAACACTACCCTCTCGTTCAGTCATGAATTAGTTGGTAGACGTCACGCTCGGTGGTTTCGCATAGACTCCATTTTGCCTTGGTCACATGATCGTCGATAGGCTGCAAGCGACACCTATTGGCACTTATCTTAATTATTCATGCGAAAGTTGTTTGTTTCTTAGAAATCTAATCCAACGTTAAACCAACGATTGTTGGCCATATTTTTCGTTTGTTTGAATCAGTTTCGCATATTGCATTGTTATTTACCTTGCCAATTGATCGAAAATCTCGCGTGCTTATGAGACGATGATTCATCCCGTGACGTCAGGGAGGGTTTTCCCTTGGAATTCGAAGTGATTCAGATTGGGGCCTACTTCCTGTCACAGTTGCACTTGTTTTCTTAGAAAATTACCCAGTGTTGTGGATAAGGACACGGGGATTTTATACTGCGTTCTTTATAGAGGATTGAAGTTTACCCAAAGCGACGATCAGAGGACCAGAAGTCTCAAACTACAAACTATTTGAGATGTGTTGTGGTTGAAGCTAGCCAAGCATTATGTCTACAGGTTGGTGATATTGAAATGAACATGTGGGAAATTTATTAACGGAATCCCCTATTATAAACCCAAAATAACAAAGCAGATGTGTTCTCCACAGGTTCTAGCATGCCTAGAGTCTGTGTAGAATATTTTATGGAGATGTGGTTGGCAGATAGTAAGATGTAATTTGCTGACTCAATCTCGCCTTCTTTTTGTGCCTTTTCTGTCCAGAGAGGAGAGAATGTTGCCTCGAATACCAGGAATGAATCATGGATGACTCCATGGAAACACAAAACATATGCTGTATTCCCAGTTGAAAGCATCACCTTATCCTTCTTTGGGTGTCTACAACAAAAAAAGCACTTAAGGTGTTGGACACTGCCCTACTATTTGAAATCCATCTATGGGTTGTTTCTTCACAAAATCAGGGTTGCTTTTCAACTGAGAATATATTGAGTATTTTCTACCAACAATCTTCATAGAATTTTTTCTGTTGTCAGGGTATGTTTTAACAAGCCAAAATGATATAGCCCAGAATATTTGGGTTAGTCTTAGAGAGAGGTTACTCAGGTACGATGCCATCATTGGTCTTCCCTGCCTACCTGAATCATTTTACTGGAAAAACACATTGATATCATTATGCAATTTTGTGTTACTAATTTACTCTTGATGTAGCTTTGTTACTATAGGTAATGATACCACTGATTGAGGTTTGGCACTGCACATATGATATATGCAAACCACACAGGTAGATGCTGCTGAAATTGGTCGCATTGGCATAAGTAGTGGGCCCACCACCTGTGTGTTGACCACCCCTTATAGATGTTCAACACTGCTGTATGGGAAACAAAAGAATAGCATTCCTAGTCACCAATAATCGACCACAGCTGTATACTACAGACAATTTGACCTCTGATTTTGGCCTTTATGACAAAACTGATAAATAGTTAAAAGACATATATGCTTGTACAATTGGGTTGCAGCTGGCATATATGACACTTGCTTTTAACCAACCTTATCATCAGTTAACAAATGGGCTGAGGTTGTGTCCACCTGTGTGCTGAAGGTTAGTAATTTAGAAAAAAAATTTGATTCATTGGCATCTGTGGATTTTGACCTCTTGGAGGTTTTCTCTAGGCCATACAATGACCAACATTTGACAACAATGACCTCTGTTCAAAGGCATATCAAAGTGCATGAGTTTGTAGAATTGGGTGTAATTGATTCAAACATATTTTATTATCAAGGACAATTATGACCCTGATTGAAAGACAATAGGTTAAATACAATGTTGGATTTTACTTGAAAAAGAAAGTTGGATAAGTGGAATGACTAAGTGAAAGATTTGCAGGGAATTCCCAAATATAGATGTCTTCCAAAGATTTAATTTTTCCTCAACTTTGGTTAATTAAATCCATCAAATCAGTTCTAGATGACAAGCTAAACATGATAGGGTTCACAATTCTGATAAAGGGCAGTCTTTTTAACCTTTTTTTTATAAACAAATTCCAAGTTATGAAACTGGATGGAACTTCAACTATCTGTACATAACAATCATAACTATATAATGTTGTGTAAATCCCCATTAAGTATAAATCTTTCTTGGAGATCACAAAGCTTAACAGCAACCAAATGCCCTGTAATAGCATTGGGGTGTACAAACCGGTGAATGTTAGTGCTGTTTACACTTACCACATAAAATACACAAGTCAGGAGCATTCATATTTTGCATTATTTTATGTCCTCCAGTCAACATACGTTTGCATCTCAATCTGTAGCTTGAAAATGCTGAATTTGATTCCTAATAGTAGATATGATTTGATATGACAGTGCACTAGATGTGAAAAAAAAAAACATTTATGGTAAGTTTTTCTTGTCTGATCAAATCTATAGATCAATAACTGAAGATGGGACAATTTGAACAAAAGACACTTCTGCTGATTGACAGGATAGCATAATTAGCAGCTATGTGTTTACCTAGCATGTGTGTATATAAGCAAGTACCTAGCAAGTCTGTATAAACTCATGTATTAGAGACCATTCCCACAGATATTTAGATCAATCTATCCTCCTGGGGAGTCTCGCTAGATTGCTGTCAGCTTAACCGGCTTAAATGTCTGTCCCGCCTACTAAAAACTGTAACAACTTTTGTGCGCGCTCAGCTCCCGGAAGCTGATAGCAATTTAGCATGAACCTCCAGGGAGTTAGGTCGATCCAGATGGATCGATCTAAATCTGTAGGAACCCAGTCATAGACTTGCAGTTAACGAGGTGAGATTGTTTCAGCACACCCAATCACATGAATAATGAATTTGATAGAACTTAATATGATGACGTAATACATTTTTGATGAAATTGGACAAGAAAAATTACTATAACAGGATGACTGTTATGGTTAACTGTTAGAAAAGGATATTTATGGGGAAATAAAAATCCCTGTTATAAGTGGTTATGAGATCAGTTTCAAACTGTTACATCCTGTATTGACACTATTTTCAAGTGGAAATACATCCTACCTATATATATATTAATAGTTGGTTTTTATCTATGACAGGCCCTTACATATCATTGTCTTTGTGGATAGATTCTAGTTCCAATGTCCATCACAAATAAATATGTCAATATACTTGTTTAAAGAATTGGAAAAAACATGATAGGAGTACCTCCCAGAAGTTGCTTTTTAATTGGCATCATTGTAAACAGTTGCAATCAAACGCCTGCATCACCTTGCTTAACCTTTGCAATTATTCCTTAGTCTTAATTACTAGTAACCTACCCTGCTGATATAAGTGCAGTGTACTAGTTCTCATAGCATGATAGGTATACACACATGCACACTCTGGTTGCATGCACTCTTGTTGGACTGTTAATCAGCATTTGTCATTGTTATACAGTTAATTATTAATGGTTACTCCCATGTGATGGAACGATGATTGGTGCATGACCACAAACCACAGAAACCGTCCCGCATGACTTCCACTTTCTCAACTCCAGTCCACATCATGGTTTGTTCCATCCACATTTTGGTTGACTGACTCCATCCACTATCAGTTTTTATAACATAATTATTTGATGTTGGAGAATAGTAACAAAATAATTATCAACTTGTCAGCAGGTGACCACTGGCTTGGCATGCACCCTAGCAGTCATTAATATGTTTTAGGTTTGCTTTCTGGTGAGCAACCACATTTGAAAACAAAACAACAAATAGTTCAGTTACCCATTCAGAATATTACATGTATGCATTTATAGGCAAAGCACTATGTAGGGTTTGTTTTAGTAACATAGTAGGATTTCCCACATGACAATCAGACATTCTCGGCACCCACAAATTGCAGTTGTCATCAGTGCACAGAAATTTGCAAAAAAAGAGACAGTGGCTGCAAGAAGTTGAGGTAGGGGGGAAGTGAGTTGTCAGAGGACACAAAAAGTGTTTAGGCATTGGACTAGAAATGGTGGGATGAGGGTAGAGCTGCACACAGGATCTGTTTATGATATGTTTGCAAATTTTATTACAACTCAGTCTCATATTGGCCAGTTGTAAGGGATATCTGCATGTGGACAGATGGTATAGTGTGGAATATATATTTATATATATATGGAAGGTATGCAACTCACTGCATGATAACTCACGAGCACTGCTGAACCCTGAATATTTCCACAGCTAATGTCCTGCTTAAACTAGGCAACAATGCAAAACAATTTGTCTGTACCAATCTATAGCAATTGATCTCGTATCAGTCTGCAGCGCCTAGATAGGCTACCTCTTCTTAGGCCCTATTCCCATAGACACCATCGGCCTACATGGATTAACTTAACTCTGCAGGGATTTTCGCTGAGTGCAATCAGCGTTACAGGTTAACATGCCTCCTCCCGGCCTTAAGTAGAAGGCAGTAAAGCTGGTGATTGTACTAGTACCTTGGAAACAAGGGGAACTGTGTCAGTTAAGCTGATTGCACTTAGCAAGAGTTTGGTGGAGGTATGGTCGATCTAGGTAGACCAGTGGTGTGTCTAGGAATGGGGTCTTGGAGGAGGGGTCCTTAGAGAATTGCCCTGACAGGGAGAGGAGGTATTCAGCAGTTCACTGATCTTTCTTTTAATGGATGCTAATAGCCATGCATTTAACTTCCTGGTCCTACCTCACACAGTTGTGTCTTTGTGTGCCATAGCTTTCATAGATTTTGTTTTACTTTGAAAGCTGCCTTATCTATCATAAATGCAGAGAAAGTTGCAATGGATTTATGAAAACCATGGCATGTCAGTGCCAGCCATTTTATCCATTGGCCTGATGTAAGGAAGGTTTTTAATTAATCATCAGTTATGAAAAACAGCTGGGAAGTCATTAAAAAATGTAGTTGTTTGCAGAGTTTTGCCAGTAAAATAGAAAGGAGCTTATGTGTGGCAGGGATTCACCAGCATGGAGCTCTGGCAGATGACCTAGATGTGGAGAGAAATATTTGGGTCATGGTGCCTGGGAAAGGTGGGTTACAGATACACATGGCAAGGGCCCATACTTGCACTTTAGGAGCACTGATCATGTATGGTGGATATTTGGGTCAAATTGGTTATCTTTCTCAAAAGAAATGGTACATACAATTTGTAGAAGTGTGAATTAAGTTCATTGTGGTGTTTTCATAGAAAAGAGTAAATGCATTTTATCAACCCATATGACTCATTAGAAGAAGACCAATAAATATATCTTGTAAATGTTTTACCCATATTCTGCATGGTCTCATAATAGTAAGGGAATTATTCACCAGCACTATGGCTATAGTAAACTTAAATAATATTTAGATACATAGCAAAGCTTATTTTTAATTACAAAAGAAAGACCCCATAATATTCATTTTTTCTTTTTCAGTAGATATCCATTGTTTTATCAGAAATAAATTATTGTTAAACTCCCAAATCAAAAGTTTGGTGGAGAGAGCCCAGACACTTGGCCCAGTGTATTTTTCAGATGCTGCCTTAATATTAACTTTCCTAAAACATACATACTGTAACATACATATATAGGTCTTTAGTTTGTTTTGTTTTCTTAAGCCCGTGAACTGGATTGACATTCCAGCCGAGCTGTATCATTCTGTCTGACTCTGTGGTTTCTTTACCTACCTTACACAGCAGGTGACCTTTACATATGAATGAACAGAGACACACACAATGATATATTGATTTGGAAAGCTGTGAAAGAAATTGATCTTGGATTAAATATGATTTGTGTTGTGCAGCATTTTTCATGAAGCATATGTACAGTTAATAGTAAGGTGGCAAGATGTCATTCTTGAAAATAAAATTTTGCCTGCCAGCAGCCCCTGAAGTGTCTTTAAAATGTTTTTAATTATGAATATAAGTACACCTAAAAGTACACCCGGAAGGCTTGATAATGACATTGAGCAGTGAGAAACTCATTGTAGTTTTAACTACCAGATATTGAACCTAACCACCTTATATTTTGGTCTGATTAAATTAACTTTATCAGTTATAAACAAAGATAATGGCTTTTAAGTTTAACAATTGTAGATATCTCTAGGTGCAGATGTAGTTGCTATTGTAGTTATAAATTCAGTTCCTTGGTTTGTCTTCTTGGAAAGGTGATGTCAATTTTTTTATTGTCTGTAAAACTGACACTTTTTGCAGCATATTCTTCTGTAAGTTTTCAAAACATGAAGTAATATGGGACAAGCAACTCCACCAAAGATAAAATTTCTGAATTATTTAGTGAGATAATTCTTCAGTGTGCAGATTATTACCATTAACCTATCAGCAGTAACCTATCAATAGTGCATTTCTGTTCCCTGTTCCAAAGAGTGCTTGGGAAGATTCTCTCTTATGTAGCATTGAAAGAGATTTAGTTTTTTGAATGAAAAAAAAATTCCTTAAATAGTCCTAATAGGTGATATGCCTTTTTACCCTTAAGTATAAAATCACTAATTCACAAATATACAGATAAATCTTTCCTATATTTCTTACCTGGGGTAGCGCTAGCAATTTTTTTCGCTTAGCCAAATCACCACATTTCTGTCAATTTGTTACTAAAATGGTTATAATTTGGCTACAACATGTCAAATCAAGCCCTTTTTCTTTAGCCAACTTAAGTCAGTTTTAGCATTTGGCTAAATTGGCGAGTGTTAGCGCTACCCCAGCTTACCCCTGATTTTTTTTTTTTTTTTTTTTTTTTTTGAGTAAATGATATTGAATAATATTGTTTGTACTTTCAAAATTTTTCTGTTCAGGATACACATACCACAAAATGCCTTTTTTTTTTTTAATTTATGGGAGAAATACAGTCCACACAGTATGGCCTTTATTTTTGATCTACTTTCCAAGAAGTATTATCAACTGTAAAATTCTTCCTGGTTACATAATTTACCTGCAAGTTAGTGTTGTATGAATAATTAAGGGACTTACATTTTCACCTCCTTTGGCTGTTTGTATGCTGTTTGTCACCAATCTAATGCAAATAGTTATGGGCATTTTTGATGAAAATTCTAGGATAGGTCAGAAAATGGCTAAATTAAAAGTGATTACATTCTGATGGTGATCCAGCTCATCATCTGGATCCAGAGAATTTTTAAAGAATCTTCATGTTTGGAAGATGGGAGACAGTTTGGGCATTTTTTCTTATATTACCACAAAAATGCTAATGAATTAGTTGATTAATAAATGGTAAATGGTAAATATTAATTTTTAAAAAATGAGAATTGAGTGGCCTTGGTTGAGGTCTGCTTTCTCCTCAAGTCTTTTAAAGTTGATTTTTTTTTTACTCCACACTGGCATTTGGTTGTTGCATTTTGCTGCAATTTCAAAGAGGGGGTTCTTTTTTGGATAAAGTGGAACTTTTGCCATGAAAACTGCACATGCATTGATAAAATTTTTACAGCAAAATGGGCAGTTCATTTGAAACGCTACTTTGATGAATTTATATCTGTTAGTAGCTATTTCATTTTCAGTCACTAATATTTGCATGAGTATGTGTCAGTTATATTGGTATGAACATGTACAGTTTGTGTGATTTGTAATCATATACATTGTACAAGATGTGTTATGTTGTGAATAAAATGAGCCTTGGGAATTGAGCCTTGGGAGCCTGGCGATTGTTTATTTTAATTCCATTTTTTTTTTTTGCTGGATTTATTTTTGTGCATCATTTATCTGAAGCAAGAGCATTCATTTTTCATACTTAATATGTGTTCTATGTACAAGCTGTGCACTTTTACTGAAACTGAGCCGATGATGTGTACTTTTCTGTGTTCTTCCTCTGGTTTTGCGTTCTAGTCTTTCCTTCTAGGAATAAGTTGTTTCATAAATCATAGTCTTTATGCTCATGTTTCAGTTTGTAATTGTATTGCTTAAAATTTCTTGAAAATGCTCTTATATCATGAAGAGATATGCATGCTTGTGATATATCCCATATGTGGTATATTTTATCACTGCACATATCCATTTTGTCTTTGCTTTCAGGAAGAACCAAAAAACCTCGACCAAAGCTTCAATTTGATCCTGCCCACAATAAGCCTCCTGCAAGTCCACTGTGAGTATTACAGGTCTCTATTTTTAGATATTTCTGTAATTACCACCAAAAAAAATAAAATTGTTTGATTTCTTTCTTCATTGTACATTTTGACTTCAGATGCGGAGTCCGAAATTTCTGTGTAGATAATTTTAAGCCAATACTTTCTGAGTACAAATGCATTTGTGTAAGTGTATACCTATGTTTACTAGTATGTGCCAACATATGGGGGCATATGGGATTTGTTGTTCTAAGTTATTGCATTTGTCAGTGCCATTATAACAGTGTTTTACCTCAAAATTTATTTCACTTTCCTTATTCCTCTTTCTTAATAATGTTCAGACAAAACATTCTCTATTGGTGCACACCATCTGATAAAGTCTGAATCATTCCAGCCCTCCCAGAGATTTGGATTCAAAGGCCACTATAACAATCGATGACAAGTCCTTTGTATGTGAAGCTGATGACTTAGAGGCGATAGTTGAACTAGGACGAGGTGCCTATGGCGTGGTGGAGAAAATGCGACACAGACCCAGTAACACAATTATGGCGGTCAAGGTATTTGTGAATAGATATATAGTTAACTTGTAGTGCAAGGTATAACACCAGTAGACATCTTTCTAGGACAGAAAATTATGATCATGGTTAGCATACATGTGAAAATGACCTTGACATCATTTTGCATGCATTTGACAGAAAACTGAGCTTCACATTTCATCCACAAAAACATTTTTATGGATATGCATCAGCATTTCTCTGTTCAACTTTTAGCAATTTTTTCATTTTTAAATGTGCCAGTTATTTGCTATGTCTGTATATAACTAGACTAAGCATTATGTACAAACTTGTAACTTTGTAAGCACTGACTAAAAGAGTGTACATTCCCAGCTGAAGCACCAAATTTGCCTATTAGGTCGTTATCCTAGAAATTTCTCAACTGCAGGTATAATAAGCTATGACCTTTTCCTGCTTACGTTTGCTACTGCTACTGGTATTCCCAGACCTGAACTGGGATCCACATCTCATAACCTGGTTCTTTTATGTCATAAAAGATTTCCTTTTCTTCCCCCGCCCACTCTCTCTCGTTTATTTGGTTCTTTTGTTTGTTTGTTAATTTTTTGATTAGATTTTCTCTGTTCATACAATTACTCTGACTGATTTCTTCTAATTTTAGAATGCACATTTAGCTGTTGCTTCATGTAGATCTCTTAACACAGTTGCAGCTGATGACAAAACTACAGGATGTCTGTCTTATAATAATAATAATAATAATAATAATAATAATAATAATAATGAAGTATATGAATTCACCCTTCCAGAGGATACCATGCACATTAAACAGTCAGGAACAGAAGCGACTGTTGATGGATTTAGATGTAGCTATGAGAAGTGGGTCCTGTCCATATACAGTGCATTTTTATGGGGCATTATTCCGAGAGGTAAGGTCATTCAAATGTCTGTATCTTACAATGTGAAAACCTTATGCCTTTCCCTACTGTGTAGTATGAAGTCACTGATAATTTCACTCCCTCAGGATAGAATTCTAGTCTATGGCAGGTTATGTCCCATTGGATATACAGTGTCTTATCCAAGGCCTCAATAACACCTGATTGCATGGTGGTTGAACCCAATGCTCGGTGCTCTGTTCTGGGAGTGAGATGATCTTTTCAGTGTGTTGTTTCCCATTGATTTATTTATTAATTTTTTTACAAAAAGTATGCAGACATTGACAGTACATATCAGCATATATGATTGTTCAGAATGTTGGTTGAAATTCTATTATATCTCATTTTCTAGGGTGATGTATGGATATGTATGGAGGTGATGGACCTATCTCTAGACAAATTCTACAAGAAAGTTTTTAATCTTGGGAGAACTATACCCGAGGAAGTCCTAGGGAAAATTGCAATATCTGTAAGTACTGTATGGTAATGTAGTGAAGGTGCTTTACATTTAATGCCAAGAAACCTAGATTTTTTTATTTATTTATTTTTTAAAGGGTTTTCTTGTGTAAAATTGCAAGCTCAATATTAAAAAATGTTCAATTTTGACAATAATTCTTTCAAACAATTGTTTTTATGGATTCATAAAAGTTTGTTTATAGCTCATTATTATACTGAATAAGATGTAAGTTATCTAAGATTTTTTGAAAGTTTATCATCTTGTCATTTCATTGCATAAAATAAGAATATTTTACATCTTGACTACATAGGTGACATTTTTCATTATTACATGTTTTAAGGTTGTCGTGTTTTTCTCTCCATCAGGTAGTGAATGCTTTGAGCTACTTACAAGTGGAGCTAAAAGTAATCCACAGAGATGTAAAACCCTCAAACATTCTCATCAATGCCTCTGGTGTGGTGAAGATTTGTGATTTTGGCATCAGTGGCCATCTTGTAGACTCTGTAGCCAAGACATTAGATGCTGGCTGTAAACCATATATGGCTGTAAGTTCTTGTTTTGTTTTCTCCTGACTGTAAACGTGGAGTGTGGTCATTAAGGAATTCCTTGTTTACTGGGGGTTTTATTTTGACCAGCAACCTGTGGCATTTATCACTGGTTTAAGGCAGTTTACCAGTAAATTTGATGCTGGGCTAGAAATAGACCTGTTTTACAATACAACTAAAATGAAAATTTGGTCTTAAGAGTGCAATGAATTGGATCATAGATGATCAACTTGCGTTTCTCAAAAAATTCTGAAGGACCACTTCCCCCATTTGTGGTCTTTTTACCAAGTCCTTAGAGCAAATTATTTTTTCATGACAACAGATTTTCCTTTCACTAGTGACAGTAGTTCATTTAGCTGCGTCAGCTACATACATTTATTCTGGGTCAGTTATTGATGAAATGTTCTCATGTCAGTATCACAGAATGGACTGTGTATTCAGCAAATACAACTTAAGCAGTTTAAGCTAAGCCGAAATTTCGGGACTCTTTGTGAGACAGACACCTAAGACTTACTAGTCTGAGTGACCAGTGGACTGAAAATTTTAAGGCACAAACTTTCTATATTTTATATATTTTAGCCTGAGCGTATCAACCCTGGAAAGGGCCAGAAAGGTTATGATATTAAATCAGATGTGTGGAGTTTAGGGATTACAATGGTAAGTATGGCTGCTTTCATGAGTGTTTTGTTAGAGATTATTCAAATTGCCAGCCAGATCAGTCAGAAAAACCTGTATGGTGTATTTTTCAGTTGAAAGTTTGTTTGTACATGCTTTTAGAAGACTGCCAAGAAGGCAGTTTTAATTCGGACAAGACATATGGTCAAAATACCTAAAGCAGATAAATTTTTAAAGCTTCAGTTTTTTACCTGATATTTTACTGAGACTTAAGTTACATATGAAGAGAGCATAGATTCCTCATAAAGTCAACATACCAAAGGATAAACCAAATTAATCATTTGGTCAGCAAAAATAGCTTTAAAACAGCACCTTCTTCAAAATTTGGATTGTAAACTTGACCCATTCATACGTTCCTCTGGTTGGTGAAAGTCCACCAAATGATGTTTTAATGTATGACACATAACTGCTGTGCGTGCAATAGCATAAATATTCAAATATTCAAAACATTTGGGAGTTATGCTCAGAAAGAATGCATAAAATATCTGATCGAATTACGTTTTTTTGGTAAGTATAAGACAATACCCTTTGGTACTTCTTTAAGTTATTTGCTATTTGAAACTATACTGACAGTGGAATTTGGTGGGGTTTAGTGGCAAAGATTTGACTTCATATATAACTTTTAGTGAGCCTTGAAAAATTCACTCTAAGCAAAAATATACTTTATAATTTCAGATTGAAATTGCTACAGGCAAGTTTCCGTATGCTCAGTGGGCAACCCCATTTGAGCAACTCAAGCAGGTTGTTAAGGATGACCCTCCAAAACTACCAGAAGGTGCCTTTTCTCCAGGATTTGATGATTTTATAGTTCAGTGGTAAGTAATAATAGTTCATTGGTGACTAATTGTGATATATATACTAAATTTTAATTTTTGTTCGAAGATATGACTAAAAATGGAGTCAAAAGTTTCTGAAATGGCTGTAGGATTATAAACATTTATTTCGATATTTTTCTTTTGTTTTCAGTCTTCGGAAAGACCCTGCAGAGAGACCAAATTACCAGAAATTACTGGAGCATCCATTCATTGTGGAGCATACAGCTAAAGAGTATGATGCTGGGCCTTTTGTTAGTGAAATCATTAACATGCCTCCTCCTCAACAACCTTACAAATAATGGGAATTCTGACCCACCCTTACAACATTTTCAAATAGCCCAGTTTCTCCATAGGAAAGAAGGATTAGTACTTGTACAAACTCTTCTCTCTCAGAAATAAAGGTGGTGCAGTTTAAAAGAGATTTCTTCAGAGGACAATTCTGATCTCACACACATGGTGAAATGTTGGACAGAGGAGAAGTATTCGAATTGCCATTTGGGAACTTATAAAAACAGACCACTTGATAAGGAAAAAACTTGCATGATGTTTGACTTGAGTAGATATCTGTACTAATTAAGAACAAGTGTAAATGTGGGATTATCCACAGGTTTCTGTACTGCATCACACTGGTTTGTCATTCAGCCAAAGCCCAGTGTCTGTGATAGGACTTCAGAAACTGAGTTATCACAAAGTTTTTCCTGATGTTGCCCCATAAATGGGGTTTATGAGGTCACTTCCTTTTAGGCCACTACCTGCAAGGAAGCAATTTTTCTGGGGTAACTTCCAATAAAAGGTTACTTTTTATGAGGTCACGTCAAGTAAACAAGATGAAGAGCTGCTGCAGTGAGGGGATTATTTTTACTTTTGTGAAGTGTCTTGTGTGAAAAGATGTGATTTTAGTATATCAATAGCTATATGAATGCCAGTGTGGAGGAAGAAAGCTTGTGCTTCAACAAGCTGGTAAATAATGTTGTGATTTTGAAAAGACCAAATGCTGTTATTAAAAAAAAAATATGAAAAAAATAGTGTAGCTTGTATGTTAGATTCAGTGTAAATCAAGTCAGGGAATTGGTCAGGTGTAAAATTCACTATAGATAGCAATAAAAAGCTGCTCTGTGTCCAGCAAGTGCATAGTGACCATCACAACCTGCATTCAGGGCACTGCTCAGTTACATTTGATCATTTACGTTAAAACTACATAAGAGGCGTGAAGTACTGTCATAATTGAAAGTTAATATCAGAACCTTTCATCAAGTATCAATTATTGAAACTGATTCATTTTACTTCATTTTGACGCAAGCAATTGACCAGGTTCTTGCTGGCTTTGGAGGTAGATGATGTAATGCACTTAGCCCAAACTGGCTAGCTGGACACTAATACGGTAGTTTTGTAGTGTGACAAAATGCCAAAAGCCCTCAGTGCAAGAACAATGACATGAGTTGAGTGGTTTGAAATTAAGGTTATTAATTATTATTATTAAGATTTGGGATATGCTTTGAAGCTGTCACCATGTGTAAAATATGGATTTGAGTGAAAGAATTTGGTAACAATGATAGCCTTTGATTCTAGCTAAAAGATGTGTAGAAGAATTGTCACATGACAAGACATCATATTTGCTGGGAAATTGGGCAATATACAAAACCAGCTTGGTAATACAAAGACTGCCAGTGTCCAAGCCTATGATGAAGGGTCAAAAGATATATGAACAATTGTTTCTGTCACTGACAGCAAATCGTTAGCTCTCTTGCAGCTAAAACACCTTCAGTGTCAGTATTTATTTCCATTAATGAATCTGCCAGATATATCTGCAGATAGATTTTCACCACCATCACTTCTACCATATAGTACTATTTACTTAATTGCAATTTTGTGGAAAGCTTTTTAGTTAATGTCACAATTTGCATTTATGACTATCCAGACACCTGTCAGCTAACCATGGAGATATTTTGTATGCTGTGGTCCAATGCATAAATGTGTGAATTGTTCTGTGGAATTTGAGATTAAATTATGTGAAAGAGAAAGATTAAACTGTTGTACTTGCAGGACCTGCCTCAGATAGAAGTGATTCAATATTTTGTATCATAATTATTATCATTACATAGTTTATAGCACTTAACTACAGTTTGAGAGACAGATGTGTTATCATATTTTATGTCAGATGCAAGCTATATTATATCATTATATTTATTCTTTGAAAAGGACAAGGGAATAAATACAGTAGTTGACAACAATTTGATCGTAAATTTTGTTTTTTAGTCAACATTTGACTGGCATAGGTCACATTATTAAGCAATGTAAATGTTGGCCTTGCTGGCAAATGAGTGTCTAAGAAAGAGTTGTGTGAGGAATTTTTAGTTTTAGACATCTTAATATTTAAAAAAGTTTAACATCAAGCCTTTTTTCCTGAACAAAAAATAAAAATAAATGAAATAAATAAATAAAATAAAAAATAATAAGAGAGAGAGAAAGAAATAAAGAAAAAGTGGCTTTTTTCATTCAGATATATTATAAACAACCCATAAAAACGCTTCGAGGGAGCAGCTCAAATTCTCTTTTATAGATCACCATTTAAATCAAATAGCTTCCAAATTATCCTACCTCTGACCTGTCCTAGTAATTTTATTATTATCTGCCCGTAAATTGTAAAGTAATACAGCTAGGCAACAAATCGACAAAAGTAAGAACGTGAAGTTGGAGGAGGGAATTCTGACATCATTGTTGCCACAATCGAGGATTCTTTATTACGAGCACCTGTCTTGGTATCTTTTCTAACCTTGACCTATAAACGTGTAGTAACCAATCCCGTACAGCAACGTAGTGTTACTGCGGAGACGTTTCAAAATGGTGGACGTAATGCGGAAGCACGCGTCTTTTCTTGTGATTTTACAGATTTATATAAAACTGGCAATCTCTCAGAGTCAAGGTGCATTTCAGTTAAATGCAGACCATGTGTTAGATGCGTTAGACGGAATTCAGGACTTCCTCGAGGGAAAGGGAGAAAACTGTAAGTTCACTTGTCCAAGAGGTAAGTATTGAGGGTGATCTGTGTTGTTGCGGTTGGTTGTTATTATATTGATATTGATAATTACCGTTATATGTAATGTCACCAGGACTCACACAAGACAATATTACAAATTATGACATATGCACTTTAGACGGATAGGTTTAATATCAACAAATATATCCAAGAACATCCGTATTTAATTTATTTAATGATGTCTCTGCCATTCTTGGCTGCCACAGTGATCGGTTAATGGATCTGAAAAAAGAATTAAAGAAATAAGTAATAATAATAATAATTATAATAATAATCATAATAATGAAATTAAGATAGTAAAAACACTAATTGAAACAACTTAAGAATACATTAATAGTCTACCATAAAAAAAACTGTTCAGTATTTTTTAATGAATGTTTACTTTTTATTTATACAAGTATGTATTTGCCTTATATTAGGTAAATAAGTGTATGACATTGTAAACTATATACTAATACATGTACTTAATTTACAATCTGTACACATGTATGTATGTATGAAATATTTACCTTTCCAAAATAGGACTGTTATATTATATATTCTACTAATAGGTGCCAAATAAAATAAAACTTTCTTCAAAATTATTTTCTAAAGAGAAACCAAATTTATTTAGTGATTTGAAGTTTAAAACAGATATTTTAGAAATATGATTACATAGAATGGAGAGAAATGATAATTTTTTCAGCATGAAACTGGCTTTCTTTGCTACCGCATATTTGGCTTCTGTAATGTTTTAATTATGCCCATGTCGTACCTTCATTTTTACTATCATATTGCAGTTTTTTATACATACATTTATATTATTTAAATACATTTCAAAACAAAATTTGACTGAACAAACTCAAAATTAACTACAGTACGTTTTATTCTTGTTAATCACCAGATTTACCTGTTTACATATATCATCATTCTATTTTGGCATGACGTGTGTGTGTGTGTGTGTGTGTGTGTGTGTGTGTGTGTGTGTGTGTGTGTGTGTGTGTGTGAGAGAGAGAGAGAGAGAGAGAGAGAGAGAGAGAGAGAGAAAGTTTTTTCTTCAAGAGAATGCTGTGTCACACAATCTACATTTCTTTCAAACCACACAAATCACACACTATTAGAAGAGAGTATTTTTGTTAGTTGATACCAGTTTTATTAAAATCCATTCACAATCAGTATCTTGTATTGTTGATGCTGAATTGCTGTTGTTCTTTGCCAATCTTCTCTATTTCAATAAGGCCATTGGCATTAATGATTATTTGGTATGCTATGGCTCTTTCAGATGAAAGTACTCAGTCTTAGCAAACTAAGTACTAGATATTCAGGAGTAACTATAACTTATTTTTATTTTAGACAAATAGTGGAGAATCTTTACCCCAATCAAGCTTTTGATTCAAAACCATAAAAATATTTCATACATGATATGCAATATCTTTATTTGTAGCATTTTTATGAAAATTTTATATATGCAATCTTTAGCCTAGATATAGGTATAGGGATATATAAAAAAATTCATGTTGATGCCACAACGGTGCCTACTAGTATTTATTCATAAGATTCTTAGTGTAAATCTAAACTTGTTTTCTAAATCTAAGTCTTCATTCATTTTCAAAAGTTATTCAAGGTCACAAATAATGCATGTACAAGCATAAATTTGATTAATATGCTACCGTATGGATTATCACACTGCTAAAGAAACCCGTCTTTATCCATTGCAAATCAATAATTTATTAACCTTTCAAGTTTGGTTTTCAGGACAAAAACAGATTCCCAATCCCCACCACAAAGTGTCATTTGATGGTTGTGGATCTCTGGGAATCAAGGTTTGTAACTAGTATAGCCAGTACACAAGCACTCGCTGACCTTTTGGCGCAGTTCATTATGCACACGTGTAAATAGCGTGACAGTTCAATGTACCCACACTAATTTTTGACAGTAGGCTTTGAAAGATCCAGTTCAATATTTTTTCACCTGCCCCCACCCCTAGATTTGGCCCCATCCCATATCTGCTACACTAAATGGTAAGATAGGCTGTTATGCTAAGAGAAATTTGATATGAAAGTAATGAACAGAAACAGATTATTTGCATACCATGTGCTGCAACTTCCTGTGTCATTTCTCATTAATACACTGTTCCTCTTGTCCATTGTTTGGGTATTTCACTCTTAAACACAAGTGTACCTGGTAGTGTAAAAGTGTACATTTGTTTATTCAACTGTTTGCCTTTCTTTTTTCCCCTACCTGTCACCATCTTTAATTTGATCAACTATTATGGGTGAGAAGTGAATATGTTTAAGCACTGGCTAGTGGGTGTAAATAGTCACTGACCCTACAAAATATTATGACAAAGCTCCTCAGGCCAGTAAAATTCAGATTTTATAGTTTGGAGTAAAATTTAATAACCTGAAGCCCTAGGCTACTAGTTATTTTTAGCACTACCAATCATTCGTCCTTTTGTTTTGTAGTTGTTGGTCTAAATACTAGTTCACTGATAGTTTAAGTAGAGAATAACTTGATAAATAAATAAATAAATAAATAAATAAATAAATAAATAAATAAATATATATTTTTTTCTTTTTTTTTAAGAAGACCTTTTGAAGATTCAGAGTTCTGAAAAAAAATCACTTCAGTATTATTGCCATAATTTCTTTTGTATGTGGTGAATCCATGAAATTGTTGTAATTTATTATCAATTTAAATAGTACTTTGTTTATATGTCAGGTGGATACAGATCACCTACCAGGTGTAACCAGCTGTTGCAATAACCATGACATGTGTTATGATACCTGTAATAAAGACAGGGAGGGCTGTGATAGAGCTTTTGAGTCGTGCTTGGCTGATATATGCAAGCTTTTTAAAAGGGAAAAGATGGCATTTGAAGGTGAGTGTGTCTGTGATAGTTTTTTTTTTAAAGTAAAAATGAGACATGATGTGTTGATTGTTTATTATGCTTGCACATGCCTGTAGAGACTAGACAGACTTTTGTGTACTAAAAGGGAGTACTTCTAACCTTTTATAGAAATGGTTTGGTATTTACTGTATCTCAATTACACACATCATAATGTTAAATTTGTTGTACTGAAAGGGGTAAGTAAGTAATAGCTTATCATTCCACATTAAGAGGACAATGCAGTGTTCTTTGTAATTTGTTTCAGCTTTTGTTTTCACATACCCTTATGAATGAAAGTCAACACCAAACAAATGGCTATCATCAGATTTTTCAAGTTTGATTGTCCCCACTCAGATAAACCCATTTGTCATACAGCAACTATACAGCCAAAACATGCAGTGATGAAATGTAATCCAAAGCCAGATTCACTTGTACGTCCTTGACATTTGACACTGGAAATGTTATAGCACGTAACTGCAAGATCACTGGAATGTTCAGACTGTATTATGAATGCCAACTGAACAGCAGGAGTGCCATTGTCAGTATCCACACTGCCCCATGAATACTAATTTACAACTTGTACCATGCAAGATCCATGTCCATATTATTTTTATAGCCATTAATAAATAGTGTGTCCATACCTAAACTGACTTTGAATATGTGATATATAATGGACTTTCATTTGCAATTGTTTTAGCTTGTATCATATTATAAGTCCTATGACTTTTTTCTCTATATACAGTATTGGTTGTATTTTATTTCTTGGAAGCAAAAATATAAAATGCTACTGTAACGATAGATCGTGAATTTTTAAGGTTCAAGTAGTTAGGTCTTGTTGACAGACTCGTACTGTACTTCATTGCTTTAAGTTACATGAGATGGTTTTTGATCTCCATGTGCTCCCGAATAACACTAGATTTGCAGTATGTAATAAAAATGATAACAGTTTTTGTCAGCATCAATGAGATTTTTTATGTTTACATTTGTTTGACTTTGCTTTTAGGTTGCAAGGTGACTACACAACTTTTAGCAGCTGGTGCATCATCCATGGGATGTCGTTCTTATAGAAATGCACAGGCCAAAGCCTGTCTCTGCGTGCCTCTAGATTACCATGAAGAAAAAAGGAAAGAAGAATTATGATGAAAAACATTGATATCTGTACATGTAACAGAATTTTGTGTGAGATGTATTAAAAGGAAAAGTGATTTTTGTTGACTGAACAAATGATGTCTATTTGTTATATTCAGTTACTGTATTATTGTTAAAACGGTCAATGGAAAGTCCTGTTGAGATGCTCGTTTTGTATCATTGTGAAATCTTGTCTTAAGGTAAAGAATCAATGTCCAAACTTAACAACTATTTATATTAAGAAGAAGACATGCTCCCTTGCCATTATTGATTGATAGATTATTTATTATTTAACAAACACAAAGAAAATATTTATAAACAAGTGGAGTAGAAATATTTTATGGACTTAAATATAAATTGCATGTATGTTTGTGTGACTTCTAAGTTACCAGTAGTCTGAAATGACTTCCTGATAAATTAGCAGTAAGCCCAAATGTTAATTATAAATTGAGAACAAATTTCATACAAAGATTTTTATTAGTATTATCACACTGTTAAAGATGATAAAGCATAGAATACTTTAGCTTTACAGTAATGACTCAATCTTTTCAGTGGGAAATGTTGTGAATTTTACAGAAGCTGTATTTTTTTGTCATAAAAATTTTAAAAATAACATTTGTATTGGGTGGTTGTAACGAAACTGAAAAGCAGGCTACCCTTTAATTCTATTCTTAATGGTAAAAGCACCACAAATGCTATATAGAAATATAATTATAATGAGTTAATGATCTAAAAGATTGATAAATTTTGCCCATGGAAAAGATTGAGTCATTACTGTATTTAATTTATTGATAATTTAATTTTGCTTCAACATCCTGTGTTTGTCATATAATATAATGTACTGCAGTGCCTAGTTCACCCCAACATCAAAAGTCAATGAAATGCTGAAATTCTGTACCCAATCACCACTTATGTTTATACAGCTTGGTGTGTTATAAGAAGCCTGTTCTTTGGAAATGGTAACTTTAAAAGTTCAAATATTTCTAGTTGCCCCCTATGTGAAGTTATTTTTACATGTATTTATTTATTGCTGTAAACAGCTGTTTATGTTTATTCATTGGTACAGAATGCAATAACAGAGAGATTCTTTAGATGCCAATATTCTGGTAGTACTCAAGATATTCTGTGCTGCCAGTCCTTTTTCATATTTAAAATATAATTTTCCTAACTTTTTGTCCCTTGTCAGTGGGCTTTTTAAATGTATGGGTTTACAACTGATCAAATAAAATGATTAAGGTTTTTCTAGATAGTGTTATCACTTATACCAGATGAAATTTATCTTTTACCAGATGCATTCTTTTGTACATAAAAAGTATTTCTTTTATGTGCTGTATTCATGAAGAAATTCTCTCTCAATATACTTTTTTCAAACTCCCAGATTATTACTGTACAACTCACAGAAAATGTAAGTTGTGCATGCGCCTTTACTGATTGCTTACATAAGCCTTTACTGACTTTTAAAAAGTATAAATGAAACATTAATATACTTAGAAATAAATTTTTTAAAAATGTCAATAATCTAAAAAGTTTTTAAAATTATCTTTAAAAGTGGACAAGAAAATGGTTTGCAATTAACTCTCAGAAATGTAATTTTTTAGATGATTTCGTTGAATGACTATATATATGAAGTGGATAGAAAGGTGTTAATTTGATATAGTTGATGGAAAGACATTGCTATGTTTTAAAATAAAACATCTATAGCTGTGCTTTTATTGTTAGGATGATTAGTAAGTAATGCGCGTTTCCATCATTAACTTGCCTCTAACACCTGCCAACAGCATACCTTCCGTGGCATGTGGTTGAGAGGGAGAGAGAGAGAAAGAGAGAAAGAAATGATATTAGATAAGTAATTCTTGAATCTTAAAATGGTGATGTCGCCTGTCAGCCCTTTACTTCCCGCCACCTGGGCAGCCCATGGCGCTAAGAGTTAAAAAAAGGCCCAGTTTTTGTCTGTCTCCCTACTATGTGTGGTACGAAAGTCATAAACTGGACAGCCAAATTGACGACGGCTTAGTAAACGTGTCAAAACAAATAGCTCATCATTACACAGGTATTTTGATAAAAAATGTGCTAATGATGATTAATTAGTCGCATCTATTATGTAAACACCTGTGGAACGATGAAAGTGGGTCATATCCCCCGGCTCTGCGTCATTGCGAGATGGGGCCATTTATTAAGATGAATTTCAGTGATCACGTTGAATCACCTTGGTGCTTGAATGTGGGACCACTTCGTAAGTGTGACAGAGACACACCCCGTGACTTTGTTATTGTCAGTAAAAAAAGCCAGTGTCTTGTTTTACTGTTGTGGATAGGATAACAGTTTTATATAATCTTGATTTTTCAGGGGCGAATGTAAATTCTTATTTTAATTCAGCAAATTTTTTTCAAGAAAAAAATATTTGTGCAAAAAAGACTTATGATCGGATTTAATTCAAAGAGAATTAACGGGCTTGAAATTACACGGCGAGGTTTGCTGGTAAATAAGGTAAATGATTTGTCAGTAACCTAAGACGTTGGCGATAAACCATTTTCTATATGTAAAAAATGGAGACCTTTTAAACAATCGTTTTACCGCCTTAATCCAAAATCCAACATGTGTTCTATGGTCTGTGGACGTGATGTTGTTTAATTGATGGTGTGCAGTCACATGTATCTGTTCGCTCCGCCCCACACAGCCTACGGGTATCCGTACCTTAAACATCCATTCTTACGTAAGATGACAAACTTTCAGATACGAATGTGGCGCTTTTGCACACATTAAGTTTTAATATCAAAAACCGAAATACTGGAAACGGCATAATAAAGGCAAAGAAACGCATTGACAAGCCATAAAACATCGTCTCAAAACAACTGAGAAAAACGTCATAGAAACTCAACGAAGCTTTCCTTTTTACAAAACGATTGGCAATTGGATGGTTGACTAACAAAGGCGGAGCACGTTCAATCAAATTGTCAGTTTGATTTCCATTACTCTCGTATGACGGTGCATAATTCGTTTTCGATAAACCAAATGCTTTCCATGTCAGCGACCAGGTGACCATTACTTCCACTGTTCACTAAGTTTTTAATAATATCAGACCTTATAACTTCCTGCCGTCAATGCCACTCTACCATAGTAATGACTGGCACCCATCAATGAGGTATTGCACGTCTAACGCCGCCAGGCAAAGTGAGGCTTATAAAGCATGTGTAGCCCCTCGGCAAGCATGGGGACGAACGTTCTTCTGCAAGCAAGGATATAGTAAAGCGTAGGCATCCAAATTGAGATCCTATTTCTGCGTGTATACATAGCGTGAAAAAAAAACTTTATAATTGGAATTTAAAAGAGAGAGGTGCAATGTGATTAAGGTATCTCTACCTGTGACTAGGATGAGAGTGACCGAGACAACAGCGTCGCCGTGGCGTTTTCATGATATATGAGTTAAACTGATGCAAGGCGAAGATTGCGCTGTCATCTGTACACAATGAGAACCAAATATTTCATTTTATACGGCTTTGTATGGGCCATATTACTTGCGAAAACTGAAGGGAGAAAGCGAAAGGTAAGCCCTTTTCTATCTAACAAGCGTGCATGTAGTGAAATGGTAATTATATCTGTCAACAGAAATTTCAGGTGGGCTTTACATGCCCATAAACTCGAACGAAGCTCAACTCTTATAAGATTTGTTAGAAAACCGACCAGTGATTTTTACGAGAAGGAAAGTTTTATGTTTTTGATAGCTTTATTGTGTCATATTTGCCTCCTATTTCGTTTTGTCATGCACTAACTATCACAAGATATAGCGTATCATTTTTAAAATATTGAATATTATTTATCTTTCATTATTAGGTATCGTTTACTATTTTCAAATGTGCTTACATGTTCACGCCCTGGTCATATGAGTCGCATTTTGCTCTCTCTTCACCAAACTGTTTTAGATCATTGCTAATGGGTTGGGATACATAACCATTACATGAGGTGTTGGCGTTACCAAAATTTGTTGAGAGAGAGAGAGAGAGAGAGAGAGAGAGATTAATAGAAGAAGATAGCTTTGATTTGATATTCTTCCTGTCTATAATTCAGGCACCAGTGCGTGGAAAATGATTACGCCTTCTTATACCAGGAATCTTTAAATTTGTACACAAAAGAAAGGATGTCCGGATACACGCACATTATTTTGAACAAAACCCCCGCATTTATCAGCATACGATATCAATTTGATACTAACTAGGTGTAAAAAATAGAAGAAAACAACTTGAATTGTGCCACTGTTTCCGCTTAACACACAGCTGCATGCCAATAAGTAACGCAGATAATTTGAAAACATCATTGCAGACACGTTATTTTTTCCCCTTTTTCCTTTTCGCCTATTCTTGACTTCAGTCTTTTGAAGCACATTTGTGTTTCTGAAAAACAGGATGTCAATTTTGTAGTGGCACCCAATTATGGCTATTTGCTCTTACAAAAAGGTCGAGAATTCCACACCCACCCTTTTTGTTAAACGTCAAATGAATCAAGTTGTGCTAATATCCCACCACTTTTTACCTGTTACCACTCGCCTTCTATAAGTAAAGGGCTAGGGCTGTGAAAATGTTTTTTGCTGCTTTACAGTGCTTAATTAAGAAGGATAGAAACCACGTGGACGTTATTTTATTTCAAGAACAGAGATCTAAATGACTTCCACTTGACTTTACGAAGCAATACCTGTTCGCGTGATCAATCCATAATTCTTCATTACGGGTAAATGACCACTTTTACTGCCGTGAGAAAGCACCCCCACATTCCATCTTAATGAGAACAGTGTCACCCGGCCTTCATTAGATAGCAGTAAAACACTTGTTTTTGTGAACTCCTCTGCCTGCACGTAAAAAGAATAGGAAATAACAAAGCTATCATAGTACTAGAATACATGGTGGGAAAGGTTTATTGCATTTTTTGCCAGTGACTTGTCATTGCAAAATATGCAATGAATCAAGAAGTGTGATAAAACCTTGTCCTCCTGCTTAAAGAGCTTCAGTTTTTTCATTGCGCTATTATATATGTGTCGTTTGTTTACTTGAGTATTTTTACAGTTTTTATGGTACATAGGCAACCCTATATCATAACAATCTATATAAAATGCCTATAGATAAGTATGGAAATACTGTAAAAGCGCAAGAGGGGTAAAAACATTGGGACAAGTTGTCAACTATCATGTGAGGGAAATATAGCACTTTTCTCCTTCAGAATAGCTTTACTACTTCTTTGAGATAGACGACGAATTTTCTAGCTTCATAGTGTCTAGGTTATTTATGAATCGTTCTTGCAGGGACGGCACAACGCGACATAAAACAATGTACTCGCCCAAAAGCGATATAGCATAAGAGATAAGTGCTAATTTCCCCTCTTTTAATAAAAATTTGGTTATTTAAAGCAAGTATAAGAAGGGTCACACCCAAAGGTTTTTGACGTTGTTTCATACCAAGTTTACATATTCATTTGTATTGAAAGCCTTAGTATAAGGGCTAGTCCCCAAATGAAACTATCATTCTGCGTAGATCGATCCAACTCCGATCGATCCAGGGACTCTCGCTTAATGCAAGCAGATACCCAGTAAGCAGATTACCAAGCCTCCTCTTGTCCCCAGCGAACTCCTATATTCACCAGCTTTTTTGTATTCTACTCAACGCCAAGAGGAAGCGTGTTAGGCCCATTGCCATAAAATACCGTTATCCTACGTGGAAAACCCAACTCCCCGGGACTCCCGCTGAATGCGGTCAGCTTAACAGATTATCACGCCTCCTCCTGACGTTAAGTAGAAAACAGAAAAGCTGGTGATTATAAAAATACGTTGGAAACAAGATAAGGGTTGTCATTCAGGGAGAGTCCCCGCAGATTTGGGTCGATGGTGTTTATGAGAATGGGGTCTTAATCTGAGTGCATTCAGCGATTACCTCCGCGGAGTTGGATCTATCTACATAAAACGATAGTTTCATAGGGAATGAGCCCTTAAAGGTGATGTTTTCATATGCTAGACTATGTGATGGGAAGTGACGTCACTTGCACAAGGTCTTTATCGTATTGATAGCTTACATAGCAGCACGCTCAACATATAACTAGTGAAAAAAAAGGCTGGACTTTTTAGCCAACTTAGTTGGCTTCATGACCATGTACCTTGCCCTTAAACAGTTTTGAACAAGCACACTATCCAATTTCATTACGAGTTCAACAAAAATCATTTTAACCACCAGTTCAGTAAAGTAATATAGATTGTAAGGTAGCGGAGGAGATATTTGACGGTGGAGGTAATAAGAAAACGCGTTCTCTGTGATTTTGGATTGTGAGCCTGTGTGCATATGGATTTTTTTTAAATAAATGCCGTTGATAAAACAAATATAATGATGATGTTATCTTATTTGATACCAATGAAGAACTGAATTGCCACGCATACCGTTTGATTACAGCCTTTTAACCGTGACCCCCTTCGCCGGTAGTGACCGAATGGCTCGTATCAATTTGAAAAGATAAGACGTGGAATGTCGTCGACGGCCTATACGCTGATTAAAACATTTTGTATGGCAGAAAAGATTTACATTTTTCATATATATTTTTTTCATTTATCATAGTTTCATTTGAAAGGTTGAAAGTACGCTGTGGTATAGTCAGTCCATTAAATTCAAAAAGATCGATTATTTAGATTAAGGGAGTGTCATTCTGAGTACTGTTTTCCGTCAAGTGTTGTTTAAAAACTCTATCATTTACAATAACTAAATGGAAGACTTTTTAAAAATACAGTGTATATGAGAGTTTTCATATATTTTCTCTGTGATCCATGCATAATATTACTATATAATCGGGAGCATAAAAATGTCCATTCACTTCAATATCGTCTGTTGTTGGACCATACGTTTTGAAAGTCGAACACAAGTCTTTTTTTCAGACCAACTACATTTGGATGTAGTAAATTTGTTTATGTATGTCTCCCCTGCACAAATCAACCAACCAATAACTTTTTAGATGAGAAATGTGTGGAGTGTGATCCACAGCATCTTCGTCATACATGTATGTTATTTCCATGCTTGCTTACCTGTGGTACTGTGGTACTACTTAATTAAACCGTTTGTCAGACTGCTGTTTTATAGTTAAAGAATTTTTTAGCTAACAGAGCCAAGCTATCGATAATTATATCGAAATTTATTAAAAAGATAATTGAACGCCTCTCCCTCTTTTTAAAATTCTTGCTTTCTTTTTTTCTTTCAGCCGCGAATTTTGGAAACGGCCCATGAACGTCACCGACTGAGGGCGCGTCTTTCCACACAACTGATGAACTCTCCCATAGTGAACGAAACAGTGAAAGGGATGCATTACTTCATGAATTTCGATTACATATACTCACAATGGAGCTCATGGTCCAAATGTAATAAAAGGTGTAAGGAGAGAAGAACAAGACAATGTATTAAAAAGGACGTCTGCGGGAACAGTGTTATCAAGGAAAGACGAGCGTGTTGGCGCCCAAATTTCCGTTGCAAAATACGGTTGAATAACAGATCACCCCTAGGGAAGCATATGGAAGATTTAATGTTTGATATTTTCTACCGATCGTGGTCGGAATGGTCGCCGTGTTCTAAGCAGTGCAGACGACACAGGACTAGGGCGTGCGCTTTCAAAGCATTCTGTAAACACACGAGCATCGAAGAAGAGGGGTCGTGTGGAACGCCCGGAAAGTGTGATTTGAGAAATAGTCCTGTGAAAAACGAAGACTTTGAAGTCACTACACACAATGAAAGAAAAAGGAAAGATAGAAGGGGTAAATGTTTACCAGTCAACTTCTGCATTTCTCAAGCCGAAAGAAACCTAGTGATTGTATTTTTTAAGTGAAAAATGTTTTGAACTCATCGGAAAGGTTAATATTTCCTGACATAATGAATCGAATTGCAATTTTTTTAATTACAGAGTCATAATAAGATTACAAAATATTGAGATGCAAGAAGTTAGAATCCGAAGATTGTTCATTTAACTTTAACAGCAATTGCTGATTTTTTTTATAGAAAAGGGTTATTTTGGAACTAGTTAACAGCATTAGCATAAAAGTCGTAAATATAAATTCCAACGCAAATTTATATCTTAATTTTCAGAGCGCGATAAAGCCAAAAAGGGGCACATTCCAGCCTGGGATGGACTAGATTCAATGCAGTGTGGTACTCGGACGGTGCAGGGGGTTTTACGAATTGTTGGCGGACGTGAAGCAAGGAGGGGCAGCTGGCCGTGGCAGGTATTTGTAATGGCGCTCTTCTAATATGTTGTAACTATTTTTGCCAACCTAACGACCTGTTTCAGCCTAAGTAGTGCGTCAGAATTAGAATATTATTGTTCTTGATAATAAAATCTAAATATGTAATTTCTAAAACGGTTAAATAGGATGACGTGTGCCCCACCGAAACACAACATGAAATGATTTCATGGCGCAATAGAATCTGGCTGCTTGAAGAAATACTGATGGTGAAGTAGGCAGACTGCAAATCGTTTAAATTAATTTCTGACTTTATATGTGTATTTAAATGCAAAACTCATAATTCTAAGGTGTACTTTTAAATACGCATACGTCGACCGAAATATATTACCGCGGTGAGAACCAAACATCGTACAATATTTCTTCAAGCAGCCAGGTTCAAATTTAGTCTATTAATGGAAGTGACAACAACGTGCAGCCAAGTTTGCACTGAATTACTAATTTCTTATTCTATCAAGTATCAAGATTTGAATTTTTCCAAAGCGTGTTCAACTGCAAGGTTACCAAATAGCCCAGTGTATTCAATGAATAACATGTTTTGATCAAAATAAAGTAAATAAAAGACATTTGGATTCTGGAAGTATATCGTATGTAGACTATGATATTATTCCCTGATTGGTCCATAGACAGGATGGAATCATTACCTTATGTCATGTGTTTCACAAATACATGCTTTTCAAATTTGGATCTCCTGTACGGTCAACTTAATTCATCACTATTTACTTATTTATTGTCCTTTACTTTATTATTCGTCTATAGGTGGCTGTATTGAACCGCTGGAAAGAACAGTACTGTGGCGGAACACTGATAGCTCCCCAGTGGGTGCTTACAGCCGCTCACTGCGTCAGAAAAAACGGGCGTCGAAGACGAGTCGTCCTTCGCATAGGAGAGCACGACTTTGAAGAACTGGAAGGAAGTGAGGAAGACACGAGGATAACTCAGGAATTCGTACATCCAGACTTTAATCTTGACACTGTTGACAGTGATATAGCTCTTTTAAAATTAAAGCAGCCTGTTAAATTTGGGACGTATATTGCACCGGTGTGTATTCCCCCAGAAAATTTAACCCTCCCCCAAGGGACACTATGTTATATCACTGGCTGGGGTAAGAAACAGGAAACACACATATACGGAGCAAACGCATTGCGAGAAGCACAGGTTCCAATCGTAGACTTACAAACGTGTCAAAATGCATTCGACTACCATATAACCGGGAACCAGTTTTGTGCAGGATACAAATTTGGAGGAATGGATTCTTGCGCAGGGGACAGTGGGGGACCGCTTCTTTGTGAGGTCACTCATGGAAATCGGTCACGTTGGCACGTGTATGGCGTCACAAGTTTTGGAGAAGGGTGTGGAGAGAAAGGAAAGTTTGGGATTTATACAAAAGTAACTAACTTTGCAAGATGGATTCGGGAAACAATTAAAAAACATAGTTGAGCACTTAAAAATCATCAAACTTTATTCTCTTGATACAATAATGTGGATATATAAATATGTAACCATTAAATCGTGATGTCATTTAAAAATGTGTTTGTTGTACTTGTATATTCTTGACAAGGAAATTGTCTCACGCAGAACAAGATTGTGAATACTTTTTAGTGAACACTGCATAGCCATGAAACTTAACTATTGTATAAAGGTAAGATATAACCGTCCCCTCACCTTTTCATGTTTTTTCCTACCTGTCTCATTTTTTATTTGCCATCTTTACTTGTGATCATCTTTGTGGGAATCGGATTCAAAGATTCACTTCCTAAAATATGGCTATCAAATATATATTAATTTTTGTGAATGTGACCCATTTAGTACGTATCTCATAGGACATATGTCTTACAGTCGTCAACAGAATGAACAAACATAGATACTATACGTAATGCAGAAAATAGCAGAGTTAGTTACTTACGCACAACTTCACGAATGGACCCAAAGTTGTACTCCATGAAATGAAATTTCAATCGAAACAATACTTATTTCCTGAAGCGAATCCTGAATTTATACATGTAGCCTGCAGTATAATTTTACGATGTCAAGGACGCGTGTCCGATTCGTTTTACATGAAGAGTTAGCCAGTGATAATAGATAACTCTTTTTTCGAGATGGTTATTTTTATAACTTTCCTGGAGAAAATATTATTAATCTGATGAACAAACATACAAAAAATATAAAGAGTGAATGATCTTAGAGGAATAAGGACTCATTTTTGCATCGAAAATTAGTATTTGAAATTTAGTAACATTATTTGTATTTTGATTACTACGTTTTACATATAAAAATCTTCATAAGGCGTACACAAATAATAAAAAACAAAAGATCACGCAGTTCTTAATGGCAGTATACATGTATACATGTATGGCAGCGAGTACACGAGAGAGAGAGTACTTTTAATTGAGGTGAGGTGGTGGGTATTCTTTTAAAAGTGTTAAGAGAGCACGTGCCATTTTGCCACTGGATTTCTAGGTGAAGAGAGCATGTCTTGCCAATGCTCAAACCCCCAACCTGAGAGTCGAGAAGGTTAGTAAGACTTCTCCTCGATACAGCTGACGCTGATAAAACATATATTTTAAAAATCCTAAAATTCCAATAGTTAATAAAACAATAATTTTTTTGAAATCCACTGACGATTAATACCGTGCATATTGGGTTAAGGAAGCTAATTGAACTAATAATGACGTCATCTTCATACTGAGGTATAGTGATGCTAGTTTTAATTTACGCTGGTTTACATAATAGAGAATAAACTAAAATCTGAGAACTGATCAAAAGCAGTACAGTATTACGCTAGTCATACACAGTATTTTGAAGCTCAATTTGGGCCCTAATTGCAATTCTATCGATGTAAAGCCTTTTGTGTGAACGCAATATTTAGCGTCGCCAGATCGCGATTCAAAATAATATTCCTCACGACACGGGTAGGATTCTATCGACATAAACTTTTTACCGCGGTATAAAAACAATGTTACATGCTGATATGTTTAGCGAATGCGCAGTTTTCTATATGTCCAGTCGAAAGTGAAAGAAAAAACATCAAGTATTTTATACACTTAAAAGAATATTTCGAACATCGAAAACAAAAGCATGGTTGAAGAGGCTAGAAACTTATGCACATGTTCAACAGGACATACTCGATCGCTGTGCTATATGTGATGGGGCTATTGAGTAAAATGATAGAATGGATTCATATCCATGATATGAAGTGACTCCAATGCCCCAAGAAACCGCTAAAAAATAAAACAAAGCAAAAAAAAAAAAAAAAAAAAACTCGATTGAATCCTCGATTTAATTCCTTGAGAAAATGTGAAGCTAGTATAAATAATAATATTGACAAGTTGCCCTTGTTTTGCTAACTTGATGAGCTAAGTTGCCACGAAAATATTAAAAACACGTTATTTCTTTAATCAAAACTTATATCGATTAACGTTTTTAAGTTAAGCGCGTTCCAACTGGTTTCTGTTTCTGTAAGGATTTAATTCATCTTGACCAAAAAAAAAGATTAAAAGCAATGTTTCAAATGTTTTAGCAGCATTTTAGCTTTTTTCCTGGTGCACAGGGAAAATTTCAAATGCTTTTGAAATGAAACAGGACCTTTTCAAAAGTATTAAGGACAACGTCACGTGTGTGTGACGCTGTTAATCACTATGTTGGCGCATCTTAAACTACTACCCGTTTATATGACATATCCGGATGCTACACTTTATCAAGCCGCTGGATAGCGGTGACGATGGTTCTGGGTCGAGACACGCCAGCGAAGAGTGAAGGGGGCGAAGAGTGAAACCTTCTGTATGGAGTTAATGAACTACATTGGGTTTGGTGCCCAATACTATTATCATTCCTTTATTGATACTAGCACATTTGCAACAGTGACTATGATCTAACAATTTTGTACGTGATATACTGATGAATGACATGAATGCATAGTAATATTTTGAGATGAACAATAGTATATATTATTGCTGTTCATATATATAATAGAATGATGTGACGATCAGACATGTATCATAGAGTGCATTCCCAGAGATTTAGATCGATCCATCCGGATCGACCTAACTCCCTGGGGGTTCACGCTAAATTGCAGTCAGCCGAGCGCTCACGGTAGTTAATTATCCCTTTACAGCCTTTAGTAGGCGGGACAGCCGGCTAAGCTGACAGTAATCTAGTGAGACTCCCCACAGGGATAGATCGATCTAAAATCTGTGGGAATCGGGTACTAGACCCCATTCCCAGAGATTAGATCGATCTACTTTAGATCGACCTAGCTCCCTAGGGGTTCACGCTTAATAGCTGTCAGCCGAGCGGGCACGAAAGTTAATTACTCCCTTACAGCTTGTAGTAGGCGGAACGGACATTTTTAAAAGCCGGATTATCTGACAGTAATCTAGTGAGACTCCCCGCGGGGATAGATCGATCTAAAAGCTCTGGGAATACGCCCTTACACTACTACACTACTTAGAATATATTTGCCTCTACATCAGTGCGTTGACTTTGTGGTTGTTCTTGTAGTTCTGATCTTATTTTACTAATTTTTGTGATGAAGTTTGCAACTTTTTTTAAAAGGTTTTTATCATATTCTTTTTTTGTTGGGCTGTTGAAATTTTATACTTTAGATTTTTTGGAGATAACCTGTCATTTAGTTTTGAAACTTGGACAGTGGAGGAGGAAGTGGAGTTCATATTCATCCCCTGCTTTCATAGTTTGCACTTTTGTTCTGATACTATACAGGCAGTACAGCTGGCTTCTGATGTCTTTCCCTCATAATTTCCAAATCGTGGGCCCCAATACGGATTCTTTCCAAATGTTGTATTTCCCATTTAAAATGATCTGTTTCAAGGAATTTTTATATTTTGTGTTTTGTTTGAAATGTTTTCTATGTCCTCGGCATACTTCTCTCCCTTTTATTTCTGTGAAAATAAGGTTTTCATGATATTCTTTAAAGGCCCATCAATTTTGTTTAATGGGGATTCTGTAGTATTCACTTCTTATTTGTTTAAGATATCTCCCATCCCTGCTACTCAGTTTGTACTGGTTTTATGTTAAAGCAGGTCGTTGAGATACATAAGCTTTGATAAACTGTTGTTATCCAGTTTGCTTATGAATGTTTTCAAAGATGTTTTTTTACTGAAGTGCTTCTATGTGATCCATGCACAACTTTACTATGTAAACGGGAGCATAAAAATGTCCCTTCGCTGCAATATCGTCTGCTGGACTACGTTTCGAAGGCCAAACACACGTCAATTTTTCAGATCGACTACCTTTGTTATCTATTAGATTTATTAACTTAGGTTTCCTGTGTGCAAACAAACAAACATAACTTTTAATATGGCAACTGTGTGGAAGGTGATCAACACACCTGCATGTTTGGCATATTTTATTCCCATACTTAAACAGTTTGTCTAACGGCTGTCTTATGGCTTAAGTTTTACTGAAAATAATTTTGCGAACACAGCCATTTTTTACATTTGGAGGGGGGGGGGAGTAATTTTCTTATTTTTTGAGTATGTCCTTTATTAAGTTATTTTCACGCAAAGTGCAATTGTCCATTTTTTCTTTCATTTTTACTTTCTTTTGAACTCCTTTTTCTATCTCTTTCTCTACTAATTATAACGTTACAGTACCAAACTTCTCCGGCTTCGGGTCTTTGCAATGTTTCTGTCTATCCTTTTGCCATTTCCTAGTTAAACTTTTTTATGTGATTGACCCTTTGACATATGTATGCCTGTCCATTTGACAGCTTTGCTTCTCCTGTTTGCTGTAATACAGCAGAAGATAAAGACACAGTTTATAAATCATTCTCCAAAGCATTAATTTTATGCAGATTATATTATCCTTAAATTCGCAGGATTATTGTTAATATTTCACCTGGTGCTTTCTAATAATTACCAGTTCCGTTTACTGATTTTAGTCTGTGCATTTTACAGCTTTGATACCTTGTTTTCAAGTGCTACTCTGCCTCAATTATTACCACCTTGTACTTAATAAAGTTTGCATGGCGTGCTTGAATATATGACACGGTGAAGGTGGAAAGACTTTGTTGAATCTAGCTGGGGATATGTAGGCCCTGACATCAGGCCTTGAAAAATAACAGAATGACGAAAACTCCGTTCTGTCCCAGATGTACTAATAACTGGTAGGGTCATGTAGGCAAGATAATACTGGGACACTGAATCTATGTAGCCGCTTCCAATATGAAAGTGTACGTTATACCCTGGCATTCCGTACGTACAGAATGGTGTGTATTAAATATGTTCAAAGCTGCTAGTGAACACAAGCAATAAGTAACGTTGTAATAACGGTAAATCCTTTAAAATTATTATGACAGCACGTGCCATTTTGCCACTGGGGTTCTCGGTGAAGACAGCATGTCTCGCCAGTGCTCAAACCCCTGTCCCGTGGCGTACATGAAGGGACCAACCAGCGTCTTTCCTATCAGGCGCGAGCTGCCTAGTCCACTCCTCGTGCACGCACAGACCATGATGCTGACCTGGTTGACCAGTGACGGCTGGACGGTCATAACGAACTCTTCGTTAAAGACCGGGTTGTGCGTTTTACGGTGCGTTTTGGTTCTTTTGGCCTTGATGACTCTTTCTGCTACCGTGAGAGAAACTTTGAAGTACGTTCCCGCTGGAAGAGAAATCGAGCGCTCAAACACATTTCTGAAAATACATTCAAATCCGTTTGCTATTAAATAACAGTTTTATCTTAGATTTGATATCAACAAAAAATCTAGACTGATATTTTTGCAATTCTTTACAATCAAGTGACATATTCCTCTGTACTTAAGTTGAACGACACAAGATAATACCTGTTTCTCTCTCTGCCTCTGGCGGCTGCAGTTCTTTCGCCTTAATGATCCCAACTGTTAGGGAACCGACGTGCGAGTCGAAACATAGGGTTAGCAGGACTTCACCTCGATACAGCTGACGCTGATAAAAATATAAACATATCCTAAAAACTCAATAGTTTATAAAGCATAACATTTTTTGAAATATTTTTCTCCATTGATGTATAATACAATGTACATTGGGTTAAGTCAGCTCATTAAACAAATAAAGACGGCATCTTCAATTATACAAAAGCAAAGAAATCGTGATGTTAGTTTCAATTTTTTTGAAATTGATATTAACTATCGCGGTCTTTATGGTCCCTGCATGCTATATTCTCACAATTTATATATAGCCATGAAAACCAATCAATGTACTAACTATGAAATCTACAATGTGACCAAGAGGCAGATAATATGAAACAATGAAATCTTCATTCGATTAAATGGCAACCCTATGAATATCCTATATTTCTAGTTGCTTCTCAAATCTGTATGCTTCTCAATATCCGAGCAAGACATTTATTTAGGAGGTGGGTCAATTGGTAGATTTAGGCAACCGTGTAATGTTTACTTTCAGGACATTAACTCGATTTTATCGTTCGCCTTTCTCTACTATATCGATCAACCACGTACAAAAAATATATTGAAGTAAATAGCAATTTTATTTCAAACCAAACTCATCGTGTGTGTTTACATGTATTTGTGAAGCTGTTTTGATACCCCAACGAAGTCATCGTAAAGGCTCACCGCGAGGAAAGTGGTCTCCGAATTGGGTAGCAACTATCTTCAAAGCTCACCAGTCGGCAAACATTAAATGATAATATTGACAAGTTGTCCTTGTTTTGCTAACTTGATAAGCTAAGTTGTCATCAAAATTTTGAAAGTCCGTTATTTCTTTAATCAGAACTTATATCGATTAGCGGCTCTAAGTTTAGAACGAGTGTACACAATATTTAAGATAAGTCAACACCGCAAAACGGTGGCATCTGTGCTCACTGGATAAACTACACGGACCTACCGCTGAATCAGCTGACGGCGCGGCTAAATTTCCGTAGATGGAATGGCATGTACATTAAGTTGTTTGACAGTTAGATTGAAAAACTACTGCTTGAAAAAAAAAAGATTGACATTGATTTCAAGTACTGATTTTCAAACTGATTTCTGTTTGTGTTAGGATTAATGCATTTTGAAAATAAATGAAAATAAAAAAATTATTTGCAATATTCCCCCCGTTTTTGAAGCTTTTTAGCTTTCATACTATTGAATGTAGAACATGAACACCGATTCTAAACAAGTCTGATTCTCTTCTTGGCAGAGGGGGGGGGGGGGTAGATATAACTGTTTTTTGCAAGATATGATGACAGTTGGTTTTATCGTCTATGTAATAGTCCCGGAGGATTGTGTACCTGTGCTAAAGGTTTGAGATTCGTGACAATTGATTCCATAGGCGATATTTAACCCATTAACAAATTATCGACAGCTTACCGGTATGTCTTCTGTAACTTCTCTCCAAATGTCGTCTGTTTTGTCAACTGCCAACAGGTCAACATCTTTCAACGGGAACGATATATAACCGATCACTACTTGGCGGGAAAACCTGTCATAGTCGCAGACGACCATCCGGAGCGTGCGGGATTTGATATCGTCTGGCTTTATAAAGAAATAAAAAGTTTCCTCAAATATTGGACTGGTGGTTCCCCGTTTTATTTTAGATATAAACTTTGGCTTTTTGTCTGGGAGTAAGAATAGTTTTACGTATGGATCAGCTGTTTCTTTTAGCTGTTTACAAGAAAGATGGACGGCGCGAATCAACTCAACACTTAGTCTTTCTATACTTCGGTCGTACGCCAGGGAAAAGCACACTTTACCAAGAGCAGAAGTAGGAGTCATGTGGTATTCATCAGCACTGTCGGATCCTGGGTTATACAAATGCACAGCCAGTTCATCAGGCTGTATTTCAAACGTGCTCATGCTGCCTCGTCTGGGTAGAAACCCACTTGAGCTACCCCGTCGCATGTACTGGCGTGGGGTTTGCGGGCCGGGCGCCGAACCAGGCGTTGAACTACCTCCGCCAAGCCCCGTGGAACTGGCTCTGCGATGACCTAGGTAGTTTTCCAAGTTAATGCCACTCTGGCGTCTGCCCGCTAATGCAGCAACAATAGGTTTCTGAGGTACAGGATTGTTATAATCCGTCTCCTGGCTAGAGCGTCTTTCTTCTTCTGAAATCACTTCTTGTGACAGATTAAGTGCCCTGCCAGCAAGACTGAATCGACGCTGTGCCAGTCTAGATGGTTCCACTTGCGCCCCGGACTCCAGGTCAGAGTCAGAGAAAGTCGGAGAAATGGGCACTATGAAGTCGATGGGATTTCTGTTCACACCCGGACGAAAGGCATTCGCTATGGAAAGTTTTGCCTGTGAACTTTTTCTGCTGAGCAAAATCTTCCAGACGCAAATTCCGATGCAAAATATCAACAAAACTCCCGTGGCAGCGCCAACGGCAGGATAAAGCCACGACGGATAGTCTTCTGGATAACTTGATATATGCCGCATTTTGGTGATTAGAACATCGCTGTCTTTGTCATATGTTGTGGTATCCATTTTGTTTTAAATCATGTCACTTTTCCTGGTGCACAGGGAAGTTTCGACATACCTTTAAAAGGAAACAGGATCTTTTTAAAAACATCAAGGCCATGGTCACTGGTGTGTGACGCTGTAAATTACCTGAATCACAATATTGTGACATCTTCAACTATTACCCGTATTTATGTGACATATCCTGATGCTATGACGTCGCTGGATAATGGTGAGGGTCGTTATCTTTCTACGTCGAGACACGCCAGCGCAGAGTGACGGGGGAGCACTCAGCCCTCTGTAGGGAGTTTATGAACTACCTTGGGTTTGGTGGCCATTATCTTATCTCGTGGGAACCACCTGATTAATTTCAGGTGCAAGGGAAGTAGTTGCGATGAGGCCTGGTATGGGGGGAAGCCCTGAAAACTGTCAAAAATGGGATTTCTACAAATTATGCACGAAACACCTCTTTTTATACCTCTTTATTTGAAACATCTGCAAGTATTAATATTTACATTTTATGTCAATTATGTAAATACATAAATACTTAAAATGAGCAAATATTTCTGATGTTACACTGTTGGCTTCTTTTAAAATGGCAACTTTTCAGTGTCCTTCATATCGCATAAGACTGTTCATTTTCGTGCCTGCCCTCTTAGAATTTATGGATCGTGCCACTGTGTAATCTTGAAAATCACTACGGATACTTCCCCGTGTATTGGCAACACACGCTGCGGATTCTAATGTTTACAGCGGCACACGTGTTGGTGTTCTCAACATGGAGATTAAGAAGTCATTATTAACAATTACCTTAGAAGCTTTTCCTCGTGCTGTCTGTATTAACTAGTTTGTTTTTTTACTCTGTACTTTCTTCTTTCCGTCAAGAACCGATGTCGTTAAAATTTCACTTGCTTATCAATACCAAGGCTGTTTGAAGCGTGATGGATTACTTTAATATTGAAGTGTTATTAGTTTTCTACCACGAAGATAAAACATTCTGTCACCTTGCAAGACAATTGTAAGCACATTTATTTCAACACGAAAAAGACACAGCAAACAAAACGATTTTCTGAAAGTCCTTTTGTATCCTCGCTAAACTCTCAGATTAATTATGGGCGGGAGTCGGGGATCTTGAATCGTATTATCTCCACTTGTGACAAGTGCGTAATAAGCAGTTAGTTACCCCCCTCGATGAGATGACAAGAGGGTGTAATTTTATCTTACCATTCTTTTTTCTTTTTGCATAAATCAACAATATTTTAGCTGTTAGTAGTTCAATCAAGATTTCTTTTGAATGTTTGGACGTAAGAAGTGATTAAAATCCAGATAAAAATCAATTTTATTTTTTTCACTGGCAATTTAAAAACACCGTTCTTGTAAGGTTTTCAAAAAATGGGACAGGGGGCGTCAAGGGCTGGGTGGAGACCTTATCAATCAAATCAAATGTTGTTCATTCACATCTGAGATAAGTGAACCACGATATAAGAATATGCGAAATACTCTTTATCGTCTTGTAATCACAAAAAGAGTTATGGACTTGAGGCTTAATTGATTTTTGACAGGTTGGCAAATATAACAGGTGACAGACTGACATCGATTGCAGTGACATTGTTTAAACCCAAGAATACTTAGTTGTTTGAGTATCATCACTTGTATAAGCTCTGTAAAAGTTTGGTTTTTCAAGTAGTCAGGCAATCTTGACAACGTTGAACTCGATACATTGTCGCCAGTGGCATTTAAGTTTGCCTCCGAATGAAAACAAATTGTATTTCCATTTGGTTTGAATGAGATGATGTAGTCCCATATTTTCTTTAATAGAATAAGGATTTATTATTCACTTTTTGAACTCTTTTTTAAAAGATCTTAATGGATTCTGCACATGAACAAAGTAAGAATGCAAGTTTTAATGAAATGCCTTTGAATCCATACGTCCTTGAAATCTACCTAAACATGGCGACCAAACCTTGCACAGATCGAGTAAACTATAAGTTCTGCAAAAACATAAAGCTGTCACCAAGCACCAGTGATATTTCTTAAAAAAATAAGCCCCTAAGTAGTATTGCTATCGAAAAATTGGTGTTTCGATGCAGATTTGCAGTGCTGAGGAGAAGAAATATGGGGTGCTTCTATGATTTATAGTGTCCTAATCTGCTGTGATTATTGTTTAAAATGAAAAGTGAGGACGTGCTCCGACTCAAAATATAGATAAAAAGCAATTATTGTAAAACACGAAGACATCGCTAGAAAAAAATCCTTCAGAGGAGATCATCTGTGTGTTTTGTTTTGTGGGATGTGTTGGTGCAAAAAGCAATCTCCGCTACAGCAATGTACGGTAAGATCCCCCCCCCCTCCCCCAACCCTACCAGGCAACATACAATCATAAACATCGTAAGTCCCCATTACAAGCTTATAAGCAGGCGAGTCGTCTGGTTACGTCAACAAGACTATTCTCGGACTAAAATCTGTAAAGTACTTTCACTACCTACAATCAGCCCTGCAGGAGTCCATCTCCGTAGGCCTACTGCCTTTGACTGTTGGGTTGCTCATAGCCTGGGCATACTCTTACTGTTCAAGATTATCGATCCTTTGAGTTCAACGAGCAAAGAAAATTGCTCATTTTTAGAAAAGAAGGGGTCTTCAAAACATGCATGCAGTACATTTACAGTGTATAAGATGAACGGTGAAGAATATATATAAGACCTTGATTGCTGGCAAACAATTATGATATTTATGTGAAAGATGACAGACGACAAAGCCAAGTAGACTGTGTAAGCTGTGTAACTCGTCTGCTTGCTATATGCTATGTAGACTCTGACTAATAACACCGTCACGCTCAGTAAAACTACTCGTCAGTGAACCCTTCAATGTCCGGCTTAATAACAGTGATGCAAAATAAAAGAATTAAAATAATGCTAATAAAATAATAAAATGATTTTTATTATACGGTTTGTACCTTTTTTTTTTGTAACAGGAAACATAAACTTAAAATTTTAATTGAAGGTGGAGGGTAATTTAAGACAAAAACGCCCTTTTAAGTTTAAAGCCTAGTGATTACATATTCTAAACGAACAACATTTTCATGGTTGATCTTTCATAGATTTGAATTTAACGAACATTAAAACAAACGAGACGTTTTCTTTTCTGTGCAGTTGGATTATCCAATACAAGTCCAATAACACAATACTGCGTGCGCACTTCGTTCAAACTAAAATCGATATCGAGTTCACCTTCGCCCTGATCTTGATTCTTGGTCCTAATTGATTGTTCTATAATAGATGAAAGCCACAGCCTGTTATACACGATTGCCTCAGTGAATAGCGCATATAGAAATATCGATCAATAGTATTCAATCAGTGCGCCACAATATGTTTATTTTATTTTGTGCGTGTAGTACAATGCGCGTTTTGCCAAGCAACTGGGCCATTACTGTAACTTGAGAATTAGCGGGAGTCCACGAACAACAAACAACTCTGTTTGCAGCGAGGAGTGTAAGTACGTCGTGGATATTTAAGTTGCTTGCTTGATTTGAGGTTCAAACACAGCGTAATATATATATATGACACTTTAAAGTCACAGGTGATAGGTTCCTTAATATTGTTCACTTATCAGTCTGCTTCAGTGTTGTCAGCATGCTGAGGAATTAATGCACGATTAACTCGATTTACTTCCCGTCGCGAGATTCAAAGTATAATACACCAAACAAAATGCCTAATATTGGCGCTATTCTTGTTTACTGGATTGCAGCAGAGTTGTGCCGAAATTAATTGTTGCTAGGGAGGTATATTTGCGTAAAATATTCAGAGCTCCCACGTTAAGTCACAGTAATTTTTTTTAGTTGCTAGGGGTTAGTTTTCAATATACTTCCAGTTTCAGTCTGTCTGGTTAGCCCCAAGACGCTGCACCAAGATGTCCCATAACGGTAGCGAGTCCTGCAGCAGCAGTTCTGTGGGCCTCCCGCCACTTCATCTCTCTAACCATTACGTTCATCAGAAACATTCGGAGGAGTGGGTGTTGCCCAGGCATTGGAAGATGGACCTACGTGAGCCGTATCAGGTACATGTAATAAATCACGCAGAATCCGAAATTTTTAAGAAAGAGTGGGTCTACTAGAGCACTTGACAGACAGTGTACTACTTTGCAAGTGGAGGACTGCGTAGGGTAAAGGGTGGATGATATAAATACTGGTGGCATAGCAAAACTTAATCTGATGACAATTAGTTGAAGTTCCACTTCGACGTAGTCCCGAAAAAGTCATAAAAAGCTATTACAGTACCTGGGTCCCACTCTACCATCCCAGTCCCCTTGGCAAATCGCCCTTATTTGATATGTTGCTATGACAGCCAACGGTAACATCTATCTGACCATTTTATTGACTGAGAATCTCACATTTTAGTCTAGAAACCCCATACATGTAGCAGTACAATCCAAATACTGCAATATCAACTTAAAAAATTATTTTATAAAAAATATGCTGTGTCAAAATGTGAAAATGCAATGTTTCATTGTCAGAGGCAAACAAGTTCTCTATCATCAAAACAAAGACAACTTGTTTCACGAGAATTCGAAACTACCAGTATAACGGGAATGGATACCAACAGGTCAATTACACCAGGCCCGTAGCCAGCAATTTCAGAAGGGGGGTTCTTTTTCTGAAAAGTGGACCTTTTCCCATAAAAACTTCATGCACCTAGATCAAATTTTACCCAGAGTGGACCTTTTCCCAGCAAAAGGGGAGGTTCTTTCGAACCCCCCGAACCCCCCCCCCCCCGGCTACGGGCCTGTACACCCCATCATAATTAACATTCCTGCTGTCATGCATATCACTCTAGCCCCCTTCCTCTTTTCAATATCACGAATAACCATGTACCTATTCTTCGATTGATGCAATTAATATTTGACTCATTGCTTTCAGAACTGGAAATATGACGTATGTTGCCAGGTGGCGAATATGGAACAGCAACTGGTGAGTATATTTAGTCCATGCAGATAATACATATTTTACAGACATCCAAAAATGAACAAACACCCACCAAAAAGTTGTAAAAGTGCATTAAGCTATATAATCTCGTAGTATGATTTACATGTAAAAGAAAGGAAACACAGCAGCAGAGATTCTCAACATTCATGTTTAATTTAAACGATTTCAATTATACCACGTAACTACAATTCATGAAGAGAAAAAAAACTTAAAAATTAATTTCATTTGATTTATTGTCACCAGTCACCCCTACTGACCTTTTATTCTATGCAAGTATTCTATTTTATCAAATGTCAGTTGACCAAACAAGCACTTACATGTATTAGTATTATTACGGCTGCTAAGTGTCTTTTTTAATGGCACACTTCAGTTATTTTATAGTATTGCACCTTAACATGATTAATATAACCACATTATGTTGACTTAGGCTGCCTCCCTCAGACAGTATGGGAACCCAGATATCTACGACACCCGGGGTAACAGCAATACACCCTGGAACCACCAGCGAGAACGCGAGATGGAAGAAAAATTTAGAAAAAATCAATTAGACAAGCACCGAGGAATTAACTTCGGTGGACGGCCATACAGATATTAAAATGCAATTTTATTAAGAAAACACTTTTTAAAATCAAACCCAGCTTCAAGCAGTGTTGATTGTTTTGAGCACCTTCTTTCTGTTTATCTTCTACTGAAGGATAACAGGCGGTTTATCATGTCGACTCTGCGTGGTAGACGGGCGGTCATGCTGCTGTAATATATGGAGGATTCAGTTTTGCGTTTTCTAATTTAGGATATATCAGATAACAATGAACTTGCTCCATTCAGCCCTTTCATATGAAATACGTGTCAAATTTATGGATGGATTTTAAGAAAGGGAAATAGCTCACACCCACTGTGCCAAAGCGAGTGCAATCTCGATTATCGAGACGATCTATTGTGTTAGGAGTGAAAGGAATTTGATGAAGGTTATTTATTGTGTTTAGGACACGCTTTTCTTTTGTCGTGTTACATTTGGTGCATTGCTTGTCAATATTTCATTAGCAGATATCTAAGGATTATCGCAGCGTTTTACATCAGTCATTATTTTCAAGGATACCACTGAATGTGAAATGGAATCATTCAGTTATAACATGACGACGGCGTCGTCTTCTAGCGATAGCCACCTAGAAAGCGGATGCGTTGTGCATTTGTGTGCTATCGTAGCTTAAAGATATGTAGTTACACAATAGATATTTGCAGACAGGTAATTGACTTGAGATGTGTTGTTTAGTGTTCCGTGTATTCATAGCCTTTGGACAAATCGTGCCAATTTTGTTAGATCATTGAAGTAGTTTTTTTTTTTTTTTTTAAATGATTTTTTTTTTGGGGGGGGATTTTTTATTTTAAATAAAACAGACGAGCCAAGCTGTTCATCGGGTTTTATGTCCCTCGGCGTTGTTTTCTTCAAGACGTGAACAACATTATTGTGTCCATGTAAACGGGGTGTTAAATACATGACAGTCTATGAATCATTCATTTGTTGGTAACATAAGAGATGACTGGAGATTAGGTCACAGACTACGCTACCATCTGCTCAAACATCTGTGGCGTCTTCTGCTACTCTAAGATTTCCTGAGAAATAATAAAGAAGGACGCCTGTCCCCTTCGCGTAACGAGTGTCTTATTTAGAACATTAGTTCAAATGATAAATTTCCCTTAATTTGAGCATGTATTGAACAGACAATTCAGGGCATGCCCCTCCCCCTCCCCCTCTCTCTCAGCGTTTTCCTTTTTTATATTTTGTCCTATAAAAGTTTCCTCTCGACTGAAAAAGAAAGCCCTGATTGTCCTCATATTTGCTTACAAATTTCGAGCATGCATGCTTGCACGGTATTTGTGGATATGCTTGCCTGCCTGTATTCAATTTTAAATCACTAAATCACTTCCTCGATTTTGTATGGTTTCACATCCCGATTCGAAAAAGGCTGCGTCATGAAATATTTGCCACCTAACCAGGTAATTCTGTAATCACAAAACCGTGTTAATGGATTGCTTTCGACGTATTTGACACGCAATGTACATATGTATACATATCAATATTAAATCTATAGAAAAGACGTTCAACTACAGAATATTTTTCAAATCATCTCATCATTAAAAAAAAATGAGTTGGGATGGGTGGGGTTTTGGTACTGTAAACAATCTGTTTACTGGATGCCAACTGCGTTATTTTCAACTAAAATATAATGAACAGTGTATATCAGGCGCTGACTCCAATTCATAACACGCCAGGAATGCTTAGAATGACATAGCGAACATAGAAACAGTCGTCGCTATTATATGATTAATATTCCCTAAAGACAAAACATAACTGCCACCATGTACCCTTTGAGTTATGACTGATAAAATATGGAGGGCAGTGGTGACATTTGCATCGCAAACTTTGTCACAACAATGGAACAGCAATGAACTTCAATAAGATTCCTAATATGTATTATTATTAAAAAATTACATTTCCTAGCCATCCTAAACACCAACCATAGGTATAACAGGGTGGTTGTGAAACAACACAGTGTAAACTATCTTGCAATTGCCTTCACTTTAGTTATAATTAATTTGCCACTAGAACAGTAACTAGAACATCGGTTTGATTGTTGTATTGGCCGCTGTTGTATTGATTCCCTCGCACTAGAAATATCTAGGTCTTCATTATGATCTCATGATTATACCATGTTATTGATAAGGGCATTGAGCCAATGATATTATTATATATTGCCAAATTTCTTCGATTCCTCGACAGGTCGACTCCCTCAATCAGACAGTGTTAGTTATGAAAGAAAATACTGCATTAAATGTCCTTTCATTGTCAACCACCTGTTAAAGCGTCACTTACAAAATTCAAATCAAAATATAAACAACCGTTTACTATGCATACCCAAAGAGAGCCAACGGCAGACCGTTAAAGCCATATCTGTTGTTTTATAAATATACGCCAACTGTTTTTCAGTTGTTCCCTTTCATGTTCGCGCATGCGCGTCCATTTATGGCCTAGCATGAAAGGAGGGCCTGCCATATATGGCAAGTCCAATACCATATATGGTCATATGAGTTGAACCGTTAGCTCTTTTTCCTAGAAGAGGAGGCCCCTGACTATAAAAAGAGTTATATTTAAAACTTCCTCATTAGTATACTACAACCTGCCATACCGAGCTCACTCGTTTATCTGCCCCAGCTTTTATTACCAACCTAATACACAATGTGTGACGAAGACGTTGCCGCTCTGGTCATTGATAATGGCTCTGGTATGTGCAAGGCCGGTTTTGCCGGAGACGATGCTCCCCGTGCAGTGTTCCCATCAATTGTGGGCAGACCCCGTCACCAGGTAAGGAAATGTTAACATAAGGACTAGCTGTCAGCTGACTGAAGTCTGTCAGGTTAACTTTAACCACCTGTTATATCGCACTCAACACGGGCTGTACAGGTGGCTGACGGCGCCTTCTTAATCGCAGTTTGTTATTTCCTGCTGTGCATGCAGTTTAAATGAAACAACATTTTACTTAAATCTCAGAAGAGCATGCAGCTTTGTTATGCTTTGTAGAATGGGTTGATAGAAAGAAGGGCGCATCAGATTTTAATACATTGCTTCAAGTAAATACAATGTGAGTTGAGATTTAACAAGTGGCCAAGGTGAATTCCACCTGCAAATTCTGTATAGAGGTAACGCCTCAATCATATGGCTTAACGTAGAGACTACTGGTACCGGCTCATTATGCAAACAAGTCACGTGCAATAATTCTGCATTCATTCATACCCAGCAGACTTGTTTATTTATACAGCAAATATGTTCGATCGCACCGATCATTGAGCGGCAGTCTAAAACGCTTTAAGGGCAATAGTTGTCGACTTTTTATTAGTGATTAAGGGTCATAAATCGAAATCCTAATGTGGGCGTTTTGAGATGAGAAAAAAATCCGCAGCACCACGTGGTCTAAAGCCAAGCTGAGAAGAAATGCTATAAATAGACATTGCCTTTTAAGGCAATCTTGTTGGGAGGACAATATAGTTTTGACATAAAGCCAGCAAATAGATTACTACACGTTTTAATGTCGAGTAGGAGAAAGTGGTGCTTGCCATGGCATTATCTAGGCCCCTGCATTGCAGGGTCGACTTTTTTCATTCATTCATTCAATATATTAGTAAATCAATCACCCAAATAGGCAGCCAGCATATAGTGATTGCTCTATGATGGTTTGCACGCCCATGTGACTGTATAAAAATTAATGCGGCAGCTGGTTGCAGAGTGAGTCACTACCTGAAGGAAACAGACGTTGAAGACGGTCGTGGGAAATACTGAACCGATTGTGTGAGGTCAAGATCAAAGAAAAACATTATGCACGCTTACTTCCGGGCCGGTAAAAATACTGTATTGTGCCAGTCAAAAAAGGCCCCATTTCCCCTCCCAATCAAAACGAACAATAACAAGTACACACCTGTAAAATATACTTCCTTGGTAGCTTTAATCATATGGATGTCCTTACAAATATGGAGGGTATTCTACATGTGAGGTCCCTGTGCACATTTATCACCAATTGAGAATTGCTGCCTCTTACTAATAAATTCATATTAGCTTGATATACTTTGAATATTCTTATATTAGTCATAAAGGGCTTATTGATTTTCCAACCTTTTTTCAGTGGTTCTGAAAGTAAAATTCCTTTATATTTTGTAGGGTGTCATGGTGGGTATGGGTCAGAAGGACAGCTATGTCGGTGATGAGGCCCAGAGCAAGAGAGGTATCCTCACCCTGAAGTACCCCATTGAACACGGCATCGTCACCAACTGGGACGATATGGAGAAGATCTGGCATCACACCTTTTACAATGAGCTGCGTGTGGCCCCAGAAGAGCACCCAGTCCTGTTGACAGAGGCTCCACTGAATCCCAAGGCCAACAGGGAAAAGATGACCCAGATCATGTTCGAGACCTTCAATGCTCCAGCCATGTACGTCGCCATCCAGGCTGTATTGTCCCTATATGCCTCTGGTCGTACCACGGGTATTGTGCTCGACTCCGGAGATGGTGTCACCCACACCGTACCCATCTACGAGGGTTACGCCCTCCCCCACGCTATTTTACGTCTCGACCTCGCAGGTCGTGACCTTACAGACTATCTCATGAAAATCCTCACTGAGCGTGGTTATTCTTTTACTACCACAGCTGAGAGAGAAATCGTGCGTGACATCAAGGAAAAGCTGTGTTATGTTGCCTTGGACTTTGAACAGGAAATGGGCACCGCAGCGTCGTCGTCCTCACTGGAAAAGAGCTACGAGTTGCCTGATGGGCAGGTCATCACGATCGGTAATGAGAGGTTTAGGTGTCCCGAGGCTCTCTTCCAGCCATCTTTCTTGGGCATGGAGGCTGCTGGTATTCACGAAACGACCTACAACTCCATCATGAAATGCGACGTCGACATCCGTAAAGATCTGTACGCGAACACCGTGCTGTCAGGAGGCTGCACCATGTTCCCAGGTATTGCTGACCGCATGCAGAAAGAGATCACGGCTCTTGCTCCAAGCACAATGAAGATCAAGATCATCGCTCCACCAGAGAGAAAATACTCCGTATGGATCGGTGGCTCCATCTTAGCCTCTCTGTCCACTTTCCAACAGATGTGGATCAGCAAACAAGAGTACGACGAGTCTGGCCCAAGCATTGTGCATAGGAAATGCTTCTAAATTAACTGATTAATTTCGTTTTTATCTTTATCCATTTTTATCCTTCAAATTGAGAACATTTGCCTGGTGTTGCATGTGACATTGTGGAAGAGAGTTTTGTTATTTTTGTGTTTGGCGAGGTGAAATCTCAACATGTTTTATTTCTCATTCCTTTTCGTTTCCCAACGAATTTGCGCGCATATCTGACTTTTGTACGCTATAAAAAGTTGTAAAGCTGTTTGCATTTTGTCCAAGCCCAGGAACGAAGGTTCTGGGTTAGTGAAGCTATGAGGATCAAAAGTAATACATTTCGTCCAAGTGTCGAAGCTTTTGTCAAAAAGCGATGGCCACTGAAATCAATTGCTTTATCATGTTTAGTCGCTCACAATTGTACGTATTATATAGTCTTATTTTTGTACTTTTAAAGCTAGAACTATTGTTTAACGTTATTGTTCTTTTTAATCTGTGGTAACGCTATTTATACGTTGCTGCTAACCCTCCAAAGATCTGTCTTGTATTTACATGCTGCTATGGACAGTATTAAACCTGTAAATACTATCAATCTGTGTTTTTTGTTTATTTCAATATAAAAAATTCATTGTAAGTTTAAATTTGTCATAAAATGATGATGATAACAATACATGTAATTGAGAGAACGATGCCTCAACAAATGATTTGTTTTAAACGAACAACTATAATGATGGTCGTGTTTGTTTCGGTAATATAATGACTCCGTTGTATAAGCCTTTCTTTTATCACAGAAATGTAGCACATTTTTGTGCACAAAACCCAAAAGTAACCCCTATGATAACATTGGATTCTTGATCAAATGGATCGGCATGTGGTTTCGGTCATTAAACCGTAATATGAATCCTGGATCAATATGATTGTCTGGGAAGTCCGTACTGATGTAGTGGGGTCAAATTTAAATGCACCCTCCAGCACGCGAATTTTTCCTTATATTAAGGCCAGACGAAAATTGATAAATCGGTTAACGAGCAGTGACTCTCTGAAACCAGGGACAGTAGGCTAATTTTGTTTTTGTTTTTTAATCAAAATGTTTAACGAGCATAACAGCTAATTTTTTTTTCTTTTTTGATCATTTTAGAGAGGGGGCGCGAAGATTCTAGATCAAACATCTGGTTTCCTCAATGTTAGGGTCTTCAAGGATTACCTGATGCTAATTGCTCCAATGAATCGGTGATTATAAATGAGAAATTATGTTGAATTGGCTGCAAAGTATTCTGCATCATGTATGTATATCAGCTTTTATGGGGAGGTTAATTAAATGAAGATATTGACAATGTTGAGCAATTATTATTGTTTTTGATTTGTCTAACGTTGATACAGTATAGAGACTGTAAATTCTGTTAGTTGCGACAAGCGCTATACTGGTGGACATCCCACCGCAATTACCTCCAAGATAATCATATTGGAACGCAATGAAATATAGACCGAGCAAGAAAATATGGTTTGGTGGGTCTATTTTGGTGAGACTATTTACTTATTTTAAATGAAGATGAAATATCCCAGAATACAGCTTTCGAGAGAGAGAGAGGGAGAGAAGGCAACACAACAAAGTCGAAAGCCACAATTACAATAGTTAACTAATTTCAACCTCTAACAGCAATACAAAAAAGGAACAAAACCCTGAAATGATCTTGTTATTGCATCATATTCTTGCAATTATTGGCCTACGCCGCCCCTCTCCGCCACTGACACACACACACACACACACACACAAACCCACAAACTGTACACAGTTGTCGTTGATACATACTGTACCTAGGGATGTTATATGACAGTGGCAATATGATGATCACTGAAGCCTGTCCATTTAGGCAAGCTTCAGTGAAGATCGAGGGCAACCTCGAGCCGCTACCCAAAAATGTCTCGCTTCACTCGACATTTCTGCGTAGCGTCTCTCGGAAAACTCGGATTTAACCTCGATGTAGTCTAGAATTTCGCGACTACATCTTGGTTAAATCAGTCGAGGTCTCTTAAAATGCTGGAAGCCAAAGACAGAGTGATCATGTGACCTTCTTGGCATCAAGAGAATAGTGACGTTGCTTGCGTTATATACCTACATGTACCAGTAGACAAATTTAAAATCTCTCAAGCTCTTAAAAAATTAGCATAAACTTTTCACGTTTAACAATTATTATTTATCATTTTATTACACTAAGTCATATCATATGTGGGTATGGTTTGAAAACGGGAATTAGTTTACATTTAAGCCACACGTGTATACAAATTATTTGTAAATCTATAACTTTTTAACGAGGGTTGTGTTATTTACCTTTTGTTTTTAAGCTGTTCATTCTTCCTCTTTATCAGATATATCGGTAAAAATCAAATGTATTCCCCCTTTGAACTTGTANCTTCGGTTTTAGGGGGTATTTTAGGATGAAATGACTGAATTTCTCGGTATGTATGTCAAATAATACACTGTCACCTTCTCGCGATATATGCCATGAACACCTCTCGCTGACGCTCGAGGTGTTATGGCATATATCGCTCGGGTGACAGTGTATTATCTCACACGTAACACCGTTCTCAGTTGGCAATGTACCCAAACCGAGTTAAGAACTTTTGTGCCAAATTGCTATGCCATCGACCAGGTCATATTTATAACAATTATATACCGATTTTTAATAAATTTTGTTGAGCTAATTTATAATTAAGTTTTGGTATTTAGGTAAAATAGGAAGTCAGTGATTCGGTAATTTATTTTACATGTATCTTTCTGCTAACTTGAATGTATTTAACACTCCACCACCATCTGAATATCTCCTTTTTTCAGACAAGTTCGCTGTTATTGAAGCATGTGCAAATAAGAAATTTGGTGAACTTGAAAATAATATTCATTATCATACTTATCTTCTTTCTTTTATGAAAATCTTGGATGAATGAATCGAATTATTCGTCCAAGTGTCAGTCAACAGACGAAAATACGTTTCATTTCAGATTTAGGCACATCGCAATTTTCTGGCGTTAAGGAAAGCATTGTTTAAATCGTCACACCAGTAGCATTCATCAGTGGCATCAGCCTATTATCTTTCCAACACTGTGCTAAAGTGAGTGGGTGGAGGGTCTCTTTTCACGACTGACAATCTACAAGGATTAAAAGAAAACAAATATTTTTTTTTTGATTCAGAAAAAAATTTTTAAAAACATGCCCCAGCCATTAACTAATTATAAACGAAATCTTGGCCAGGTCCTACATTGGTACAATACCCAAAGATACGATTGTTTCACTTGCTGTGTGTCTGATTTGACCAATAAGAACAATTTTTTTAAAAATCTAGATTAAATGTTTTAAAATGCATCTGCCCAACTAGGCTTTGGTATCTGCCTGGGCTTATGATATGTTATTAAGTTCTTGTAAGAGTATAAGCCGGCGTTGGAGCGAATACAGCTTAGAATTTACCCCCTAATTTCACGGGTTTCTTTAAGTGTTATCAAATTTAAAGTATCCAATAACTTTGTACATGTAACAGGCTTTTATCGGACCCTGTGGTTAGAGAGTACTTAGAATTCATGGCTCAAGCCAGTCGTTAAGATCTTTCATGCGTAAATTATTCAATTAATGCAAATATCACAAATATCAATTTTATAGAAATACTTGCCTAAAACCCTTTCATCTATGTAAGAACACGCACGCACACACAGAGACATGTAACACGCACACACAGATATAATTTAATATACTTTTTTACAAGAGAGAAAAACAAAGATGTTACAATGTTATTGATATTCTTTGATTTATGCTTTGCCATATTTGATTAAAGTGCCAAGTTACTATTTTTTATTTACTGTTAACAAAAAAGCTGCTGTCAAATATAAGACGCCTACAGTGCATTTCACATGTCTCTGGGGGCGGAGACCGTTTCCTATTATTTTCTGTAATCCCGAAATTACATTGACAGTTTGAATTAAACATGAAAACGACATTCACTTGCACTGGTCAAACTACGGGCGTTATGTCAGTGTTAAGTAAATGGATTGCTTTAAGGGCAATGGCTATATTAGTTGTCAGCGCTGCTTCTTGGTGCAGGTGCACAGCTATACTTCTTTATGTAGGTTACTAGAAGTGTATCATTGTACGCGTCAGGTAGTTATGACATTAAAACAGTTGTGAACTCTTATGAGTTTATTTTCTACCGCAAGGAGCTCAGATGCAAACATGTAAATGCAATATTGGCGTGTAGGAATGTGGAACTGTCTAAAAGCGCCCCGGTACCAAATTAAAAGTCATTTATGATCATTTTTCACTTCTTTTGGCAGATAGTCGATACGTTATCTACAGCCTCTGCGGAACGTTACATTCACTTCTACACAGGAGCGTTTTCTACGTGCACAACATAAAGATTGTTACGATATTGTGGTAAGAATTAATCTAGCGCCCTCTTAGAATCAGAACGTGTCATCTTTGTCTAAATCTGTGCGTCAATGTACAGCCGATTAAAGATAGCGAAATAAATAAGGAACGGTTATATTGATGTTCGTGATAGTCGGACAGATACCAACGAAATGTTGCTGGATGCCTTCGTTCTATGAAGCATGAATCTTGAATCTTGACCAAAAAGTATAAGACAACTTTGTCAGTTTAAAGCATTGCGCAGCTAGACACAAGACACAAAGCTAGATACAAAGCATGACCTTATAAAGTGTTTTCTCATTCTTATAGTGCCTGCAATCCCTCTCTACCTGCCTACTTCCTTTTATGTAGCAAAAGTGTAACGCAGTCTTTACCACATATCTCGTATATAATGAAAATACATTATATGAGGCATAGCCTCTCTAATGTAATATCTACATTTTGCAAGTTAAGTATCGTACTCTTTACTCTCTTCTTTTCCTCTTACATGTCCAAAAGTTCTTTGCAGCTACCGCCATATTTACAGGTCTTAGTCACGTGGTACTGACTTGGCTAAGCCGTTGAAAAGAAATGTTATAATCACATGTTCAAATGGAATTATTTCCTTTTTTGCAAGGATTGTTGATATACATTGTTTGAGAGTGTGCTCATGGTATTTGTAAAATATTTTTCTGTTTTAATGCATATTTGAGAGTCATTTTGTGCTCCCTTTAAATAGTCCTAATATGTCAGTCCTCGTCCCAACATGCTTTAGACATTGGCACAATGTAATAGGCGATTTATATAAAACACAACACAATCAACAAAGAGAAGGCAAACTTGACTTGTAGAATGTGTGACTTATTCAAGATCATTTTAAATTATTATGAATATATAGAATATGATGGCAATATGATTAACACTGATGAAGACACAATGGTAAGACAGTGACTAGCTAAGACATAGCATTCTTTCCTCAAGTAATTAACGCCAAATCCACGCATCACTCAGTGCAACAACTATCTGAAAGTTGGTGCAGAGAATGTCACAGTTCTTGCACCAGTGCTGCGTAGCTGACAGATTATATACATGTTCTTTTGTACTTGTACTTTAATGGCTGGCATTACTCAGAATTCCCGATACCTTTTTCTAATGCACCACAGTGTCAGGGATTCGCTAACAGTAATTATCAATAATTATTGAAATGGATCTATCAGCGGTTATAAATTGACGGCATTTGCACCATCTGGACCTTTTTTATCTGCGAAGGAGAAGGCACGATAAACATGGGTGCAACAGATAAAAAAGATAGCAAATTTAATTCTTGATGCTATTGTCCTCTATTTATGAAACACATTGTTGTAGATCACATACCATCATTCCCATCAATGTCTTGTTACAATGTCTTCTCTATCTTTTTTTTTTCAAATAAAACATTTCGCTGTAACTTTATGACATCACACAGCACCTTACAGGCACATATTGCTCGTAAAAGTTTGAATTTCTAATAATAATAATAATAATTATTATTATTACATAAAATACAATGGTAAAAAATAAAAATTAAGACACCAGAAACGGGGTTTTAGGTCATCATTTTCTGAATAGTTTTGGATAGGATTGACCTTATTAATAAAGTGCAATTTTTAAAAATTTCAACTCTTCACTTTTTCTTTTACTTAATAAAATTTCATATTATATGTATTTAACTATTTAGATCAGGCACCTCTGCCTTTGTCAAATCATTAACCTTATTTTAAATGGTCTTATCTTGAAGTTTTTAACTCTTTCGGACATTAAGTAATATTCAATTCTGTTCGAAAAGTTTCTTTCGTGCAATGCAATTGGGTTCTTCCTTTCCACTCTTTGTGGGAGGCATTGAAGGTTACACACACACACACACACACACACACACACACACACAGTGTAACACTGCTTACCACTTCAGTACAAAACTCATGCGAAATGCCTAGATTCGAGAACCACGATTTTTCATTAATCAGAAGACGGGCGCAATGAGCCATCACCTTGGGTTCACTGCCTATGTTTCAACACTTCACGTTCATTTTCCTTCGCTACTGACGTTGACCAGAAATATTAAATATGGATAAAAGATTAAAAAACAAGCTGATGGTAGAAACAATAGCTTCATTCGCGGTTTATGTTATATTATATTATACTATAAAAATGGAAGTGCGAAAATCAATATTTAGGCATCGTATTAAAAACAATACATGATCATAAAGTGAACTTTCCCTAAAAGGTATTCTAAAATCTTAAATATTCCATTTTACTCAGGAATCACAGAAGTCGCTGGTTATTATCCAATGAGATCTTGTAGTTTCGTGACGTCTCCGTACTTCATCAATGATTTCAGACCATATATAGATGATAGGCACCGGGCAGATGTGGCATTTCCAATACCTCGTCTTGTGGCTCGTCTCTGGCCTCAGTATTCGCACAGTCTGTGCATTGTGAGCGCTTGTTAATTAACACAGAGTAGCAACACAAGGAAAGTACAGGGAGCATTTCTAGGAAACCAAATGCATTAAATCGGTAAGTGGTAAAGAAATGAGATTTCAATTATGTCCTTTTTGAGAACTGTGTGAATCGTTGTTATTGTTTTTTTTTTCATGAAAAGTAAAATAGTTCCTCGGACTTTGTTAAAAGATTATTGTCTAATGTTCTACAAACTCAGCAGTATGACGCTTTCAGGTTGTTCCCATAAAAATGGAAAATTTTATTGTAATTTGATAATTTACATTGCGTCCAGAAAAGGCTGGACGATTTTATTCTACTTGACCATGATCTGCTTCTGTTAATAATCAATGGTGAACAGGGACTTCACGTGCCAGTATGTGGGTCTGAAACAGTTACTATGAATTAAACTTTTTATGCTTATCATGGCTTACATTGACAAAGGTTGTCCACACGCACTCTGTGGTTAAACAATGCATAGTAATTTAAAGCTGTTCGTGATAATCCTGATAATTCCAAGATTTTGGGTTTCATTTCAAAATTGAAATGGAAAATATGAATTAAAAGGTGCATCTATCTGATGAGGCTTATGTTTGTATTAAAAAGGGGGCGCACCTGGCCTTGGGAAATCCTAAAATCTGGGCACTACAATGTCTATCGCGTGCAGACATGTCTCCCTTATAACTTCACTTTAGTGCCTTTCATAATTGTGTTAAAAGAATACTGGGCCATTGGGCATATTCCCAAAGACGACCCACGGGTGTTTTATTTTTAGTTCGGACATGCTTTTTAAAATGCCTCATTTGCATTCTGCATAGATTGCCAAGGAATCCTCACGCGTGCACAGGTTGTACTCGTCCCCTACAAAACAAAAAACAAAAACAAAACTTGTCAATAATTCTGATCGTTCAGATTTGTATAGACATGCACATAAATAATAATAAAACAAGCATTAAACATACGACACCGTACATTATCATTTTTGGAAATAATTATGTTTATTTATCATTCTGGATAAGTCCAAAAGTCCAAATTATTCAGAGAGTGGAGACATAAAAGTAAAGTGAGAGATCCGGCGCAGCTGGCGGACTGCGTCCTGTGCATCCTATCAATCACGACCAAAGTGGCTATGTTAAGGCCAATATGATGATACGTTTTCCTTTGAAAGTTTGATTTAGAAAAGCAGCATGGTATTGTTATTTGTAACATATTCTTGTGAAAAGAAGTGTGTGTGTGTGTGTGTGTGTGTGTGTGTGTGTGTGTCAGAGAGAGAGAAATGAGAGAGAAAGAGAGAGAGAGAGAGAGAGAGAGAGAGAAATGAGGGAAGGCGGGGACTCAGCACTGCTGAGCAAAAAAAAAAATTGATTACAGTATTATGCATTTGAGGCAAAAGCCCATGGAGAGGCTCTATTCCTTGCCATCTCAATCATTTTCCAAAACTAAAGTATAGATATAAGAATAGACTCAAGAAGCCGTCAATATCCCCTTATGTATTGAAACGTATTGGCACATTTTGGGTTATAGTGGTTGTAAGTGCATGTACGTCACATGGAACGCAAACGATTATTTTATATATTATTTAAGTTTGTCTTAAAAACAGAGTGCAAAAATCGAAGTAAAAAAATCCTCTGTTACCCATATCCTTATCAAGTTACTATTTGGTTCATAAGCTTAGTTTAATAATTGTATTAATCTTAAAAATCAATTTTGACAATAAAATTGGATATTTAATCAACGGTTAATACGTGCGTGTGTTGTGGGTGTCATGAAGTTATCATTTGTGGGACCAGTCAGACGGTTGACAGATTAATAACCAAATTACGTGATATAAGCTAAAACGTGTAGCTAACATTCTGTGCACCAGAGAAATTACTTCACAAAGACAAACGCTGAAGTTGTATGTGCTGTCATGATCGCAAGTTTAACACCAAAACGTGAAACTCGTATTTATTGTCAATTTTATTGGAATATATGTGACGGCAGACATAACAACAGAAGTAAAATATTTATATGTGTGTGTGTGTTGTCATCTGAAAGTATAGTCCACTCCTTATGCTTCGCGAACAGCTTTTGAGCACATGTGCAGAGTGAGAAACGACATACGCCTTGAGGATAAAAGTAATCTAGTAGGTACACTGGTACACTAATCTATTAAGAATACATATTAACTTCCCTGATTTGGTCATGTATAAAGGTAAAATTTACGTGTATTAAGACGTGAAATAGAATCAAAGCAGTATCTTACTGTAGTTTTATTTTCAAGTGAATTCGCTTTCAGCTTTAGAGTACTGAAGGCAATTTTCCTCTATGCAGTCAACGCTCTCCGTTACCATGACGCAACGGCATTCGCTGATGATAGAGTTGAGCTCCTAGCCAACGCTGAAACTTTAATGCTGGCGGAGAGCGTTACACCCACAAGAATCAAGACAGGTTGCTAGTCCATGTAAGCTAAACGCTCTGGTGCTTAGGACACTTTTTACTATGAATGAAGACATGTTATGAATGTTAGATCTTCCCACTGCTAATTCACCAGTCATTAGCCCCGTGTTCAACGCTTTCAATGTTTTGTTACTGTAAAAGGTCGTTCATCATGCGAGGCAACTTATGTTTTCGTTACATCTCACATTTTAATAACGTATGTTTCATTCTAACAACGAGAGCAACCAGATTTGTATCACGTTTGTTGCGACACGTAATAGCACCGCCGACACTCCCGTCAAACGATTAATTAGATCCTCTTTCCACAGTTGTCGAAAACAGCCTATTTAACAGAAGTTAACGGGTTTGCGATCTCCCCAGAGAACCAGTCGACATCTACGCTGGCCAAGGGTAAATGGCCAAGGGTAAATTAAATATTTATAATGGTACAGCCACAAAATGTTACAGTTACTCTTTACCTCGGAATTAATTCTTCTGAGATATATATACCTATGAATAATAAGTAGGGTTCCTGTCGGAGTGACACTAAGTGGTTTTCCCTGAAGCGGAGGATTGATAGAAAACAAAATAGGCCTACATGTAGCAAGTTAGGTCTTCAATCAAACCATGCAATTTTAATCGAACAAATGTATTTTCTTTTTGGACTTCAAAGCGACCATCTTTTGATTTCATTCTCATTTCACGGGCCTTTCTAAAAATTCTTAAGGATCAAGAGATATTGGAACACTCAACTAGTCACGTGGTCTGATTATCCTCAAATAAGGATATTCTTTTCTTCGTCCAATAAAACAATACAACCCAAGCAAATTGCGTTTCTGTTCGATATTTTATTAACTGAAACTAAAGCCGCAGGATAGGTGTGTCTATTGGCGCTTTCTGTTATCCCGAAAGGAACATAATGGCGCATTTGATGTAATAGTACAACGCCACATAGCGAGGATACAGTCCCTGTACAGCAATAAATATCGTAATTCGATAAAACAAAAACAATACTGGTTAGCGGCAATCAACTTATTAAGCTAGAGAGCAGGTGGTTGGACATACAGGTCCACATGCCAGGAAGGTCGATATAGTGCCGTTGCCTTGTTCTAGTGGTTGCACGTTTTAATTTTTTTACGCCTACTGCGTACTTTAATATTGCTACTCCCGACAGATTAAGCAAATCGAATTAATCCCTCCATCCAAAAGAAAGAAATCACCACATTGATTAGATTCTTCCTTATTCGTGAGATGTTTACTGCATGCGCGCGAATGGGATGCAGATGCACGTGTGTGTGAAAAAGTACCTGAGTGGGTCAAGCACATACGTTAAAACGTGAAGGAATAAGTGTGTACGTAGTGCGAAACTGTTGGGATTGGACGACCAAGTGTTGATGCCATTATATTTCTACTGACTTTGAATATTAATTGCGGCTATCTGTCTTACTAATACAGTCATTTCCAGACAGGAGTCATTTGCTGAGGATTTCCAGGACGTTTTAATGGCGGTCACGTGGGGACCAAGTAGACACTGTAGTTTTAGTGCGCTCTCTTGCATATGAAAAGATTTGCAGAATACAAAAGCAAACCTAGGTGGTAGTTTTGATCCTCGTTATCGTTTTGTACATGTGTATGTGTGTATGAAACTTGCAAATGACTATATTCAGACTATCGTACTTTTTTTTTGCTTTAGGACTGCATAAGAATTATTTGTCAGACAGACCTTGAGACAGTTGTTTAATATTCTAGATAACTAACAAAAGGTTTTCAAGACGACGAACTTCATTATTTGAAAGTATAAGATCATTTTTAATGTGGTGCATATTTCATTCTGATTTTAATAGTTCTACAACAAAAACGTTGCATATTGCAGTTATATCAGAGAGAGAGAGAGAGAGAGAGAGCACATATCATTATGTTAGCCATCGCTAGGACACGTCTAACACATAATTGAAACCTTCACGCAAAGCAGGCATATCTCGCTTCAAGCAAAGACTATATTTGTAGAAATCACGCCGAACAAATGGGATAGGACCCATGTACTTTTATCACCTTGACACCATCCTCTCAGAAGCTGAGCAGAAAAGGCTTGCAATCGACCAAATATTTTTGTGAAGGATTTTTGTTTTTGGAATGGAGTAAGAGCCTGTATATGCACATAGCCTACCGAAAGCATGCAATGATTAAGTTCGAACTGACAGTTTTGTGTATGCTCAATATCTTAACGCTAGTGTTGTTGGTAAGGAACTGAAAGCTCATATCTAGCACCTCTATGTAGACATGCACACTTCATGTACTTTATGTTATTTCGAATGTCATACACAAGTGATTAGGCAACTTGTGCTTGTACTAAATATATTATCATTGCATTAATCTACTATTTTTGACACATAATTTGCTTAAGTGAGGTAACATATACAAAAAATATTCAGAACTTCGCTGAAAGTAACCATACATAACTGAAAGCTGTCAAATTGTAATTGACTTTGTGCATGAGTGGGTTATTTGAACATGGCCGGACTACCCGATTTAGAGAAATTAGAGGAGAGCGCTTTGAAATCAATCAGTGATGTACAAATGTAATTAAGCTGCTTGAATTTTAAGTAGAACTGCTAAAGTCCAAATGAACAATAGGAAGTTACACTCCTAGAATTGCTAGA